TAGTGAGTTACTTCTGCAACGTTTTTAGAAAAAATTGCTATTAATTTGGCCAGTACTGTAATAGCAAGTGTATAAATATTTTCTGTTCAGTCTGTACACAGTAACATATCTGAGAACCATATTATCATTTCTGCCCAAGGCTCCCTGTGATTTATAGTTAGCAGTGATACAAGGCAATTACCAATTTTCCATGCTCTTGGCCTGAAGAAATAAAATAATAAAAGTCAAGTTTTTATTATTATGCAAGTGGAAAAATACAATTCTTCATGGTATGATTTGAATAAATACAACTGATTTGAAGTTGGAATTATTATTTGTCTAAGATGACTGGGCATTTACAAATTGAAATAGCTACTCTTCATCAAGAAAATACATGAATATTTTTCCCAATCCACCTGGATTTTATTGTAGGTCTTTGTACGTGAAATAGCTTTATTTAACGTCCGCTTCCACCGAAGTGATATTGCAGAAAATTAACAAATTCGGATTCCCTTTTAAAGGAATTAGACTACACTATCGCTGGATTGTATTATATTCAAAATGGCGCCCAGAACACAAAACAAACACTGCAATTCAGGGCGGACTGGTGTCGAGGTTGTATCCTAAGAATGATTTTTTGAATATTTAATCAAACAGAACACAATTATGCACATGCAGTTATGATATAATATTAAATTAGCTTACCTCAAATACCTCGAAATATACTGTTTGGTCAGTTTGTCCGCCCGCCATATTTCTATTAGTCACACATCCTTCGGCCAATTAAAATGGACGTATATTTGGTTTTAACCGAAACGAAAAATTTGCGTTATAAATACATTGTATTAAAAAATACCAAAATCACAAACCTGATGTTCTTATTTTCTGAACAAACTTTTTTCACAACAATATCACTTTTTTTCGATACTAATGCTTAATAATACAGTTAACATTTGCTGTACCACAGGGTTTAATGCCGCAAAATTACTTCAATAAATATTTCTTTCTTTGTTTTAAGAGTAATTCATTTTAATTGGTCATTTACAGGTAAGAATAAATTTCCAATTTCGATTAATGAACCAATTAAATTAAATAAAAAGATTAACTCGACTATTTCCATGCCCATTCAAACATTTTTTTAAAACGTAGATATAACACAATTGTTATTGTCTTTGATGTGTCAAGTTTATTGGGGCGATATCAATCAGACACTTCCAAATGCAGACATTGTAATAACCTGTCTCTGTATATTGTCTGAGACAAGATGTGAAAATAAACAAAGAGTAGAATCAGAATAATCTTTTATTATATCTAATTAAATAAATAGTTTATATTTAGATAATACTTGACTAAAACTTTTATCTCTTATATCAGTATACTGTTATAAAATACGTTGTTTTAAAAGAGATATTAAATGCATCGCACGATACATACATTGCGATTTCTACTTAATGTTTGTAATAATTAATATAATATCCTTTTAGATAATTAGAAATATTAAAAAATAAATCAAGTGAATTACTCGACATTCAAATTCAGGAAGAGTGGTTTTACATATAGGCTAGGCCAGATCACTAATCCAGTTCCCCAATCCCATTCAGATTTTCTCAATAAATAAAAAACATAATGTGATAAAGGAACATAATAAATGTTATCTTTAATGTCGACGTAATTAATTATATGGAGAAAAAAAAAACACATAAGATTTTATAAATGTACACAAGTTTGTGTTAAGACATTGAAAAGAACACAAACTTGTGTCATTGCAATGCAATACAACACAAACATGTGTTAAATATTTTTAACACAAGTTCTTGTGTTGAGATCCAACACAAGGGTTTTTTCAGTGTACACAAGATTAAATGGTACCCTGGTTACAGTGGTATATCTCTTAGTATATGCTTAGTGTGTATTTAGTTAGGTTGTGTGATCGAACGGTCTAACATGTGCGCTTTAAAGGATCTAAATCGCTAATATTTGGGACCTGGAATTTGACACAAATGGGTCGCAACGCATATAATAATGTAATATGAATGTATATAAACTGATTTACATTTAATCGTTTCCGTTTTTACTCTAATTTCAAATCAGTTATCTTCTGCGAAATACGCCAGAAGTCTCACTCGAATGGCAACCTCTGGCATCTGGTTATTCCAGTCTACATCGATAATGTTTATTACACATGCTGTCCAGATAAGAATTTGGCGTCAACGTTTGACATGACTTGTGAAATATGTCTAGCCTCGTTCTCCGAGTCCCGTGTTACAAATAGCGCTGAAACGCATCATCGTACATGGTAAAATGTTTATTTTGTCTTAAATATTGGATATCAGAAGCCCATCTTTTCTCGGTAAGATCATAACATCAATGTTGATTTAAATTGACAAATAATTCCTGTTTTCGTGTTACAAATAGCGCTGAAACGCATCATGCTACTAATGGTAAAATGTTTATTTTGTCTTAAATATTGGATATCAGAAGCCCATCTTTTCTCGGTAAGATCACAACATCAATGTTGATTTAAATTGACAAATAATTCGTGTTTTCAATGTCGAATGAAGACTTTGGATGATATTGAGTTAGAGACTTAGCTACTTTAAATCTGGCCTGTCATCGATTCAAGTGAACCCGTTCGGATCCTATACTTGTATGCGATAAGGAAATGGTTCGCCACACTAACTGCGTGGGTCTCCTCCGTGTACTTTCTCCGTGTTTTCTCTGCAAAATCTATAGATCCCGTGGCGCAATTCATTCACTGAAAGATATGATGGGGTAAATAACGTATGTGAGTCCCGATGTGAACATTTGATCGCCATTACTAACGACTACGGTCCTTTACATATACCTAGCTCCTAAATAATCCATCCCATGAAGACCGAAACCAAGATCTCGATTTAAATAACAAAACTGAACGATTGTTAAAACCCGTTCTACCGTTCTAGTCTGAATCAGTTAAAATGAGGACCTTGGTTAACACGTCGCGACTACTTTGTTTTTTTATATTTACTAATACTATCATATTACATTATTTGTAAGCGTAGGACATTGCCATTTCTAAACAGGTATTATATGTCTTATCATAGAAGTCTATAGTGTTATGTTCTCTCGTAATCATTTGTTTAAATACCTTAATTGTCCATAAAATAAAACCAAGTACGAACAATCCAAACCATTAGACAAAATTCGAAGTCCTAAAAAAAAAACAAAAAAAAAACGGTATAGGCAAAATAGTGTAATAAGGCAAAATAGTGTAATCAGCATATGGACTGTTCACCGTGTACAAACCTTTCTACCCAGGGTAATTATATAACTGTTAAAGATACATTATGGGAGATAAGAGGTCCACTGTTCCACTCGACACAAACTAGGCTATTTCGAGATATAGTGGCGTTACACAAAACTATTTTAGGGACAATTTTAACTAAAATCACCCTCTCCTAACTTAAAATCACGACATTAACACATATTGATTAGGGCTACGTTGTGAGATATATTGTTACATATAGATATGTTTGGAATAATAATATTGCCAATGGCCTGGGTCACATAATTTTAACATACCATCATTCACAAAAAAAAAAACAATTCTCATTTTTTTTTCATAGCATGTGGAATACACGCGTTTATTCCATTGAAAGGCAATTTAAGCATTTAGATGGCGTCCCTAATTAGAATCCCAAGAACAAAAAACATTCAAAACCCCAGTAAACACAGCACTTTGTTACTGTTATACCATATGATTCAAACCGCTAAAAAAAAATCATTTCATATCTAATGTCATGGAAAGAAGGGCCCTCTTATCTATAAAGAAAATGGCCAATTTCTTAATTGGTATTACAAGGCCTGTATTACTAGACACATGCCATAAGCATAACGTTTACTCATACGTTTTGGGGGTTATGATGATTTGTAAAAAGATAAATCTATAATCTCAAATATGTGTACTGAAAAATGTTATAGGCCTATTTGAAATTAAATTTTAATATCATAAATTTATTATTATTTCTTAATGAAGGCTAACGTTAATAAAACAACATAAATAGGAAAAATTTTATGCGCCAAAGCTATTTTATCTTGGAAAAAAATCATTTTAATTGAGTAAGATAGGTAGCCATCGGAACATTTGCTATTTGGTGTATTAGTTTCAACAAAGTTATTACATACTTTTAAAATTCGACAAAAATTTACAGACTAGATTAGCCGTTTGAGTCACAAATTCTCAATCGTTTCTTTATCCAAAATATCATTATTTCCATCGAAGCCTGTAAGTCAAATGCCAAGGTCACGAAAGCAGGGTGCAAGTTCAAAGTCAACCTACCAATACATTTCGAAGCGAATAATACGCAATAAACTCATTTAATTCATCTCTCTATGACTGTCTGACCATGTGCACACATTGGTACAACGTATGAAACTCTCCCCATAGGTATTGTAACCGTTAATTCAACCTGTCAACAGTTTTCAGGTTCGAAGCGTATCTGCTTACACTCTACGTGACCGCAACGGAAATATGCAATCTATTAAAACGCATAAAATTTAAAATTTCATTTTGATTTTAGTTAAAATCTATTTTAGTGATTTTAGTTTAAGTTTTTGTGAAACAGGGCCCTGGTGTAAATAAATGTTATATGTACTAAACTGATGCCTGTTACCACTAAAATAGAGTTACACAAACGACTACCGTTCAGTTGGAATGGTTCGCGTATTTCACTGAACATAATTGATAGAATAATGGTAAAAATTGAATGACGATCACTCTCTCTATATATAGTATACTTATATTACATAAAGGTTCTATGGAATAACGGGTGGGGGTAGGGGGGGGGGGGGGGCACGTCTCTATTTTTAATCAAATGACGTGAAATCAAATATGCTAAGTCTTATATCAAATAAGTTATTCAAATATTGAGTCAGCAAGTGACGACGCATTTCATATCTGTTGAACTATGCACTGACTGTGTCAATAAACTGCACTGTTGATACACGAACCAATGCAGACAGACTTGACGTAACCGTCCCACATCAACTAGATAATAAACTGATAGTCAGAGAGATAGGTCTAACATCGACTCGTCTAGAAATAGCATAAGGTATATTTATTTTATTAATTTGAATAATTTATGGAGAAGTTACCAGAATATAGTTCCAGTTGCTTCAAAGACGGTAATCGCCTTGAGCGATCTTATTTTTAAAAATCTATAAAAATGAAACTGTCTGTGACAAAATTGATAAACCTTGTGATTGTTTCTAGGGATTAGACAGTGTGTATGGGTGTGTGTGTGGGTGTGTGTGTGTGTGAGAGAGAGAGAGACTGCTCGAGTCGGGGATTTGAAGTTCGAAGCGCGGTATAGGCCATCCCAACCGCCTACCAGTATTCCAATCTTCATATAGGTAGCACCATCGGGGTACGAACCAAGGGGGCAGGAGGGCAGCTGCCCCCTAACTATTTGGCAATATGACTTTTCGGGCAGACGGGTAAAGTAAAAACAAAAATTGTTATTTATTTTTTTTTTTTTTAAAACAATATTTTTATTCATTAAATCTGAATTTGGATTGGGGAACAGGCATTGCCTATGTGTAACCCCTCTCTCTGATTTAGGTACATGTACACATTATAAATATTTACATACATACATACATACATACATAATTAAATAATTATAGAGCATATATGATACATCATGGATAATATAGAGACTTAGATGATTATACAGGGCTTGGAATGACTTAAGAGTTGTTTATGGAGATTTAAATCTTTTTGATAAGGAAATAAATTGTTGGACTTCTTGGAAAATAAGTGTGTTTATCTCTGGACTAAGTTTTGTTGACCCATACAACAGACAACTGATTGTTTTATGATTATGTTGAATGTTATGGATTGTCCGTTTTCTTGCATCTGAATATAAGTGGCATACGAGTAAATAGTGTTCGGTATCTTCGAATTTGTGACCACAGAGGCAAGCAGGGCTATCATCGACGTGTCTGAGGAATTTATGGCCTTGTAGGTTCGAGCAGCATAATCTTAGTTTACAGTGGATTATTTGTAATTTTCGTATCCCAGTATAGTAATATGATGGCACGGTGGTGTCTAATTTATTTAGTGAATTTCCAAAGATAGCAAGGGATCGAGAGTTTCTAATTTCAACGTTAAGTTTGTTCCATTCTCGTATACTGGAAGGGATGAAGGACTCTGAGAAAATTTCGGTTCTGCATCTGCATCTGCATCTTGTTATTTCATCTAGTTGGCAAAATAAAGTGCCCGAAATCTAATAAAACACTGATTTTACTTTTCTTTTAATTAAATACCACGAATTTGTACTGAATTGACTATGGATTAAAGCATTCAGTCGGATGCCACTCTACTTTTTTCGACATTTTTCGGACATCGATTATTTTGAATTTGCTGTATCCATGGGCTGGAATAGCGGCCATCAAATTTTCTAAATTTTCTTGGGGACGGGGGGGGGGGGGGGGTTATATAAGCTCTGCGGAAATTTTCTGGCATTTCAGGTTCTGCCCCCCGCCCTTGACATTCATCGAGCCCGTACGCCTCGTTAGACCATTCGTTCCGCAGCCATATCATCTAGCATTTTGTTTACGTTATAATGGACGTATATCGAGTCGAAGTGTACAATTATAAAGTTATACAAGCCACCATCAGGTCTATCGTTCGTACGTGACAGGGGGTAGGGTCCCTGTGTAACCCCCTGTTTTTTTTACGGGTCCTCCGGTTTCCTCCCACTGCTAAAGACCACTATGTGCAAGCGAATTATTGGAATAAAATTGAACCATATTGAGACGATAGGCTGAGGCGATAGTGTGTAGTCGTATATAACAACAAGGAAAGAGGATTGCTCGGGGTCAATAGGTCATCAATAGAGTTAATACATGATAATATATATTAGCTATTATATAAGAAATCATCACATTAACTTTAAATTTAGTACTATCACACCTAGATAGACATGTTATATAATAGTACGATATACACCTGGCTATATCTGGACATACCTGGACATAGAGTATCACGATCATGTTCGACAACTGGTCGAAATTTAGGAATTAAGCTTTAAAGATTGATGTTTAAAATTTTGAAGTAACAGTCTTTTTCAGGCCCTCCGTCCTGCATCACCGGAAAATCTGGACGATCTTTCTCGGACAATGCAGGGATATGTTTGAAAGTGTATATTTGCGTGTTTAAATGTCTCTATTTGTATTTTAGTCTAGAATAGTGTACCTTTAAAAGTTACAATTTCATATTTTCTAAGAAAGTCAAAACATAATTATTTCTATGTCTTTTGCTCAATAGGTTGTCAACTCACTATTATACGATCATAGGTTATCTTTTCCTCACACTTAAAAATATTCACACCGGAAATAATAACACAATTACCTCCCAATTACCCCCCTTGTTTTCCTATTCCCCACCATGGAATGGCTATCTTCAAACGTTTGAAATTGAAGTTAAAAATTATATTTTTGCCAATTTCTCAACTGGCAATAGTGAATTATAGGATTAATAGGATTATTCTTTAACAAGGTAGGACTGTTTATAGATACCAACTATTTTAGGGATTTATTTTAATACATTTTAAAAATATAAATTAAAAATATGAAATTATAACTTTAATGTTGATCAAATATAAATTAATGTATGAATACTTTTATATTCCTGGTTTTATCAGAATTAACCAGTTGAATACCAGATTACACACAAAGATCGTAAATTACCAACAGAAAGGAAACATCAGTTATTACAACAAATGGCTGCAAATCCATCACCAGCAACGGTAACAGGTGTAGGTCATCGACTAACACGGCTAAATTTGGCTTGTCAACCAAGTTCCTCGGATATCAAACCAACAACAATGATGACATCAACCATAGATACAGCTTCAACAACATCCACCTGCTCAGCATCAGTAATATCCATCAGAGCCAATAATATCATTGCCCAAACTAATCCATCAGTGAAATATTTTCGAATACTAGATGCTGATCCATACGATAAACAATCCAACCCAAATGGCATCATAAATCTTGGTACAGCCGAGAATAAACTCTGTGCTGACATTTTATCTAAAAAGGTAAAAACAAAGTCCGTATTTTCTCCGTCTTTTGTTTATGTGTTTTTTATGGATTAATGTGTTGTGATTGTTGTAATTTTATATTAGTTGTATGTAAAGCGCCCGAAAGCAACTCACTGAGTTGAATTGTTGGCGCTATATAAATCAATTATTATTAATATTATTTATTTTGTCATTCTACAGTTTATAAAATCTAAATCTAAATTAGTTCCCATACCATCGTAGTTTTAAAAGTTCGTATGTTTACTTCCAATAGTTTGTAGAATCTAAATTAGGTCCCAAGCCATCGTAGTTTTAAAAGTCCGTATGTTTACTGTCTACAGTTTATAGAATCTGACTCAATCTAAATTAAGTCCACAAAAGTCGTAGTTTTAAAAGTCCGTGGATTAATTTCCTACTAGATTAAAGAAACTAAATTAAGCCTAAAACCATGTTTTAAACTACTGAAATGTACTCAAATTGTGTTTTTTGTATCATTTAATTAAAATAAACGCTAGATGATTTAAATTCATCTCGATTCAAAACAGACCCATCAAGTGATTACAGCGAAACTAAAAAATTGCACTGACTTAGGTTGACTATATTCTAATATACATCGTCTGCAGTGAATGTCCAATGTTGACAAATGTTCAATAAATACGTTAGTCCACTCGACCACCCAGTCCTCTCAAATTTGGAACAAATTTTCTCTCTTTTAAGGATGTATTATGTAATAGCTGACCATTTTTGCTATAATTGTTCAAAAATAGATAATTCAAAATGAATATATATTAACAATGTCATTCAATTACTTTATTATCGTTACAGCGGTACCTGTTAGCCTCGATTCGCTATTTTAATTAAATCATTAAATGGCGATCATGTTTTAATCCGATGATCTAGACAGTTAATTATAAGCTTGTCATGTTAATAAATGTTTGAATAATAAATGAAAGAATATTTAAAGATAAAATAAAGACCTGTAATAGACAGATTTAGTTCTAACATAATGAATCTTTAAGCATGTTTTGGTGTATTTGTTTCTAGTTGGCTGAATTCCAACACAAACCAGAAGAAGAGTCGTTGAATTATTATCCAGCATTAAAAGGTGCATCAACGTAAGTATTTAAATTGATTGATCTAAAGACAGTTAATTGGATTCTGTAGTCGAAAGTACCGTTCAATAAGAAGCCGCGGTGGCTCAGCGAGTAACAAACCGCGGTGGTTCAGCGAGGAAGAAGCCTTGGTGGATCAGCGAGTAAGAAGCCGCGATGGCTCAACGATTAAGAAGACGTGATGGTTCAGCAAGGAAGAAACCACGGTGGCGTGTAGGAAGCAGTTTCGCTAACCAGGAAGCGTCGGGTTTGCTCTCGGTGTTGCCCTAGAACGTCCATTGTGATTTTGAATAGGATGACAAACTGATGCCCTGTGGACACATTGACACCCGGAATTTGAAATAAGAGTAGGCCGCAGTGCCGCTCCCCGGGCAAAATCTCCTTCATGGCGTATGTATGGCGTATTTACACCGATAATTTCAATTTCAAAAACTTTTGCTTTCACTCCTTGATTGCACCATTTCCAGAATTTTTTTTTCCTTTAGAGAATATCTGATTGCAATTACCATTTTGTATCAGACGAGTCCAATAAGACAACCTCCCACCCCACCACCACAACCACCACCACCACCAGATGAATGTGTTAGTCTATCTCACGTGAAAGTTAAACCCTTCTTTCTCGCTCTTTCAGATTTCGTTCAATTGGGCACACAATTGTACTTTGTAAAAGTTGTATAAAAAAATATTGTGTTCTTGAATGTGTCCAATTTAACAGCGAATTTATTTTTATTATGTAACATACTAAGAACCTAACTACATTTTTGGGGCACCAACCACCACCGCCCCCCAGTCAAAAATTTCCCCGTACGCCTATGGTTATGTGTAAGAATATTCAGTTCAATATATTCACGGTGTATGATTTTATTCATACTTCAATTTTAGTGAGTTACTTCTGCAACGTTTTTAGAAAAAATTGCTATTAATTTGGCCAGTACTGTAATAGCAAGTGTATAAATATTTTCTGTTCAGTCTGTACACAGTAACATATCTGAGAACCATATTATCATTTCTGCCCAAGGCTCCCTGTGATTTATAGTTAGCAGTGATACAAGGCAATTACCAATTTTCCATGCTCTTGGCCTGAAGAAATAAAATAATAAAAGTCAAGTTTTTATTATTATGCAAGTGGAAAAATACAATTCTTCATGGTATGATTTGAATAAATACAACTGATTTGAAGTTGGAATTATTATTTGTCTAAGATGACTGGGCATTTACAAATTGAAATAGCTACTCTTCATCAAGAAAATACATGAATATTTTTCCCAATCCACCTGGATTTTATTGTAGGTCTTTGTACGTGAAATAGCTTTATTTAACGTCCGCTTCCACCGAAGTGATATTGCAGAAAATTAACAAATTCGGATTCCCTTTTAAAGGAATTAGACTACACTATCGCTGGATTGTATTATATTCAAAATGGCGCCCAGAACACAAAACAAACATTGCAATTCAGGGCGGACTGGTGTCGAGGTTGTATCCTAAGAATGATTTTTTGAATATTTAATCAAACAGAACACAATTATGCACATGCAGTTATGATATAATATTAAATTAGCTTACCTCAAATACCTCGAAATATACTGTTTGGTCAGTTTGTCCGCCCGCCATATTTCTATTAGTCACACATCCTTCGGCCAATTAAAATGGACGTATATTTGGTTTTAACCGAAACGAAAAATTTGCGTTATAAATACATTGTATTAAAAAATACCAAAATCACAAACCTGATGTTCTTATTTTCTGAACAAACTTTTTTCACAACAATATCACTTTTTTTCGATACTAATGCTTAATAATACAGTTAACATTTGCTGTACCACAGGGTTTAATACCGCAAAATTACTTCAATAAATATTTCTTTCTTTGTTTTAAGAGTAATTCATTTTAATTGGTCATTTACAGGTAAGAATAAATTTCCAATTTCGATTAATGAACCAATTAAATTAAATAAAAAGATTAACTCGACTATTTCCACGCCCATTCAAACATTTTTTTAAAACGTAGATATAACACAATTGTTATTGTCTTTGATGTGTCAAGTTTATTGGGGCGATATCAATCAGACACTTCCAAATGCAGACATTGTAATAACCTGTCTCTGTATATTGTCTGATACAAGATGTGAAAATAAACAAAGAGTAGAATCAGAATAATCTTTTATTATATCTAATTAAATAAATAGTTTATATTTAGATAATACTTGACTAAAACTTTTATCTCTTATATCAGTATACTGTTATAAAATACGTTGTTTTAAAAGAGATATTAAATGCATCGCACGATACATACATTGCGATTTCTACTTAATGTTTGTAATAATTAATATAATATCCTTTTAGATAATTAGAAATATTAAAAAATAAATCAAGTGAATTACTCGATATTCAAATTCAGGAAGAGTGGTTTTACATATAGGCTAGGCCAGATCCCTAATCCAGTTCCCCAATCCCATTCAGATTTTCTCAATAAATAAAAAACATAATGTGATAAAGGAACATAATAAATGTTATCTTTAATGTCGACGTAATTAATTATATGGAAAAAAAAAACCACATAAGATTTTATAAATGTACACAAGTTTGTGTTAAGACATTGAAAAGAACACAAACTTGTGTCATTGCAATGCAATACAACACAAACATGTGTTAAATATTTTTAACACAAGTTCTTGTGTTGAGATCCAACACAAGGGTTTTTTCAGTGTACACAAGATTAAATGGTACCCTGGTTACAGTGGTATATCTCTTAGTATATGCTTAGTGTGTATTTAGTTAGGTTGTGTGATCGAACGGTCTAACATGTGCGCTTTAAAGGATCTAAATCGCTAATATTTGGGACCTGGAATTTGACACAAATGGGTCGCAACGCATATAATAATGTAATATGAATGTATATAAACTGATTTACATTTAATCGTTTCCGTTTTTACTCTAATTTCAAATCAGTTATCTTCTGCGAAATACGCCAGAAGTCTCACTCGAATGGCAACCTCTGGCATCTGGTTATTCCAGTCTACATCGATAATGTTTATTACACATGCTGTCCAGATAAGAATTTGGCGTCAACGTTTGACATGACTTGTGAAATATGTCTAGCCTCGTTCTCCGAGTCCCGTGTTACAAATAGCGCTGAAACGCATCATCGTACATGGTAAAATGTTTATTTTGTCTTAAATATTGGATATCAGAAGCCCATCTTTTCTCGGTAAGATCATAACATCAATGTTGATTTAAATTGACAAATAATTCCTGTTTTCGTGTTACAAATAGCGCTGAAACGCATCATGCTACTAATGGTAAAATGTTTATTTTGTCTTAAATATTGGATATCAGAAGCCCATCTTTTCTCGGTAAGATCACAACATCAATGTTGATTTAAATTGACAAATAATTCGTGTTTTCAATGTCGAATGAAGACTTTGGATGATATTGAGTTAGAGACTTAGCTACTTTAAATCTGGCCTGTCATCGATTCAAGTGAACCCGTTCGGATCCTATACTTGTATGCGATAAGGAAATGGTTCGCCACACTAACTGCGTGGGTCTCCTCCGTGTACTTTCTCCGTGTTTTCACTGCAAAATCTATAGATCCCGTGGCGCAATTCATTCACTGAAAGATATGATGGGGTAAATAACGTATGTGAGTCCCGATGTGAACATTTGATCGCCATTACTAACGACTACGGTCCTTTACATATACCTAGCTCCTAAATAATCCATCCCATGAAGACCGAAACCAAGATCTCGATTTAAATAACAAAACTGAACGATTGTTAAAACCCGTTCTACCGTTCTAGTCTGAATCAGTTAAAATGAGGACCTTGGTTAACACGTCGCGACTACTTTGTTTTTTTATATTTACTAATACTATCATATTACATTATTTGTAAGCGTAGGACATTGCCATTTCTAAACAGGTATTATATGTCTTATCATAGAAGTCTATAGTGTTATGTTCTCTCGTAATCATTTGTTTAAATACCTTAATTGTCCATAAAATAAAACCAAGTACGAACAATCCAAACCATTAGACAAAATTCGAAGTCCTAAAAAAAAAACAAAAAAAAACGGTATAGGCAAAATAGTGTAATAAGGCAAAATAGTGTAATCAGCATATGGACTGTTCACCGTGTACAAACCTTTCTACCCAGGGTAATTATATAACTGTTAAAGATACATTATGGGAGATAAGAGGTCCACTGTTCCACTCGACACAAACTAGGCTATTTCGAGATATAGTGGCGTTACACAAAACTATTTTAGGGACAATTTTAACTAAAATCACCCTCTCCTAACTTAAAATCACGACATTAACACATATTGATTAGGGCTACGTTGTGAGATATATTGTTACATATAGATATGTTTGGAATAATAATATTGCCAATGGCCTGGGTCACATAATTTTAACATACCATCATTCACAAAAAAAAAAACAATTCTCATTTTTTTTTCATAGCATGTGGAATACACGCGTTTATTCCATTGAAAGGCAATTTAAGCATTTAGATGGCGTCCCTAATTAGAATCCCAAGAACAAAAAACATTCAAAACCCCAGTAAACACAGCACTTTGTTACTGTTATACCATATGATTCAAACCGCTAAAAAAAAATCATTTCATATCTAATGTCATGGAAAGAAGGGCCCTCTTATCTATAAAGAAAATGGCCAATTTCTTAATTGGTATTACAAGGCCTGTATTACTAGACACATGCCATAAGCATAACGTTTACTCATACGTTTTGGGGGTTATGATGATTTGTAAAAAGATAAATCTATAATCTCAAATATGTGTACTGAAAAATGTTATAGGCCTATTTGAAATTAAATTTTAATATCATAAATTTATTATTATTTCTTAATGAAGGCTAACGTTAATAAAACAACATAAATAGGAAAAATTTTATGCGCCAAAGCTATTTTATCTTGGAAAAAAATCATTTTAATTGAGTAAGATAGGTAGCCATCGGAACATTTGCTATTTGGTGTATTAGTTTCAACAAAGTTATTACATACTTTTAAAATTCGACAAAAATTTACAGACTAGATTAGCCGTTTGAGTCACAAATTCTCAATCGTTTCTTTATCCAAAATATCATTATTTCCATCGAAGCCTGTAAGTCAAATGCCAAGGTCACGAAAGCAGGGTGCAAGTTCAAAGTCAACCTACCAATACATTTCGAAGCGAATAATACGCAATAAACTCATTTAATTCATCTCTCTATGACTGTCTGACCATGTGCACACATTGGTACAACGTATGAAACTCTCCCCATTGGTATTGTAACCGTTAATTCAATCTGTCAACAGTTTTCAGGTTCGAAGCGTATCTGCTTACACTCTACGTGACCGCAACGGAAATATGCAATCTATTAAAACGCATAAAATTTAAAATTTCATTTTGATTTTAGTTAAAATCTATTTTAGTGATTTTAGTTTAAGTTTTTGTGAAACAGGGCCCTGGTGTAAATAAATGTTATATGTACTAAACTGATGCCTGTTACCACTAAAATAGAGTTACACAAACGACTACCGTTCAGTTGGAATGGTTCGCGTATTTCACTGAACATAATTGATAGAATAATGGTAAAAATTGAATGACGATCACTCTCTCTATATATAGTATACTTATATTACATAAAGGTTCTATGGAATAACGGGTGGGGGTAGGGGGGGGGGGCACGTCTCTATTTTTAATCAAATGACGTGAAATCAAATATGCTAAGTCTTATATCAAATAAGTTATTCAAATATTGAGTCAGCAAGTGACGACGCATTTCATATCTGTTGAACTATGCACTGACTGTGTCAATAAACTGCACTGTTGATACACGAACCAATGCAGACAGACTTGACGTAACCGTCCCACATCAACTAGATAATAAACTGATAGTCAGAGAGATAGGTCTAACATCGACTCGTCTAGAAATAGCATAAGGTATATTTATTTTATTAATTTGAATAATTTATGGAGAAGTTACCAGAATATAGTTCCAGTTGCTTCAAAGACGGTAATCGCCTTGAGCGATCTTATTTTTAAAAATCTATAAAAATGAAACTGTCTGTGACAAAATTGATAAACCTTGTGATTGTTTCTAGGGATTAGACAGTGTGTATGGGTGTGTGTGTGGGTGTGTGTGTGTGTGAGAGAGAGAGAGACTGCTCGAGTCGGGGATTTGAAGTTCGAAGCGCGGTATAGGCCATCCCAACCGCCTACCAGTATTCCAATCTTCATATAGGTAGCACCATCGGGGTACGAACCAAGGGGGCAGGAGGGCAGCTGCCCCCTAACTATTTGGCAATATGACTTTTCGGGCAGACGGGTAAAGTAAAAACAAAAATTGTTATTTATTTTTTTTTTTTTTAAAACAATATTTTTATTCATTAAATCTGAATTTGGATTGGGGAACAGGCATTGCCTATGTGTAACCCCTCTCTCTGATTTAGGTACATGTACACATTATAAATATTTACATACATACATACATACATACATAATTAAATAATTATAGAGCATATATGATACATCATGGATAATATAGAGACTTAGATGATTATACAGGGCTTGGAATGACTTAAGAGTTGTTTATGGAGATTTAAATCTTTTTGATAAGGAAATAAATTGTTGGACTTCTTGGAAAATAAGTGTGTTTATCTCTGGACTAAGTTTTGTTGACCCATACAACAGACAACTGATTGTTTTATGATTATGTTGAATGTTATGGATTGTCCGTTTTCTTGCATCTGAATATAAGTGGCATACGAGTAAATAGTGTTCGGTATCTTCGAATTTGTGACCACAGAGGCAAGCAGGGCTATCATCGACGTGTCTGAGGAATTTATGGCCTTGTAGGTTCGAGCAGCATAATCTTAGTTTACAGTGGATTATTTGTAATTTTCGTATCCCAGTATAGTAATATGATGGCACGGTGGTGTCTAATTTATTTAGTGAATTTCCAAAGATAGCAAGGGATCGAGAGTTTCTAATTTCAACGTTAAGTTTGTTCCATTCTCGTATACTGGAAGGGATGAAGGACTCTGAGAAAATTTCGGTTCTGCATCTGCATCTGCATCTTGTTATTTCATCTAGTTGGCAAAATAAAGTGCCCGAAATCTAATAAAACACTGATTTTACTTTTCTTTTAATTAAATACCACGAATTTGTACTGAATTGACTATGGATTAAAGCATTCAGTCGGATGCCACTCTACTTTTTTCGACATTTTTCGGACATCGATTATTTTGAATTTGCTGTATCCATGGGCTGGAATAGCGGCCATCAAATTTTCTAAATTTTCTTGGGGACGGGGGGGGGGGGGGGGGGTTATATAAGCTCTGCGGAAATTTTCTGGCATTTCAGGTTCTGCCCCCCGCCCTTGACATTCATCGAGCCCGTACGCCTCGTTAGACCATTCGTTCCGCAGCCATATCATCTAGCATTTTGTTTACGTTATAATGGACGTATATCGAGTCGAAGTGTACAATTATAAAGTTATACAAGCCACCATCAGGTCTATCGTTCGTACGTGACAGGGGGTAGGGTCCCTGTGTAACCCCCTGTTTTTTTTACGGGTCCTCCGGTTTCCTCCCACTGCTAAAGACCACTATGTGCAAGCGAATTATTGGAATAAAATTGAACCATATTGAGACGATAGGCTGAGGCGATAGTGTGTAGTCGTATATAACAACAAGGAAAGAGGATTGCTCGGGGTTAATAGGTCATCAATAGAGTTAATACATGATAATATATATTAGCTATTATATAAGAAATCATCACATTAACTTTAAATTTAGTACTATCACACCTAGATAGACATGTTATATAATAGTACGATATACACCTGGCTATATCTGGACATACCTGGACATAGAGTATCACGATCATGTTCGACAACTGGTCGAAATTTAGGAATTAAGCTTTAAAGATTGATGTTTAAAATTTTGAAGTAACAGTCTTTTTCAGGCCCTCCGTCCTGCATCACCGGAAAATCTGGACGATCTTTCTCGGACAATGCAGGGATATGTTTGAAAGTGTATATTTGCGTGTTTAAATGTCTCTATTTGTATTTTAGTCTAGAATAGTGTACCTTTAAAAGTTACAATTTCATATTTTCTAAGAAAGTCAAAACATAATTATTTCTATGTCTTTTGCTCAATAGGTTGTCAACTCACTATTATACGATCATAGGTTATCTTTTCCTCACACTTAAAAATATTCACACCGGAAATAATAACACAATTACCTCCCAATTACCCCCCTTGTTTTCCTATTCCCCACCATGGAATGGCTATCTTCAAACGTTTGAAATTGAAGTTAAAAATTATATTTTTGCCAATTTCTCAACTGGCAATAGTGAATTATAGGATTAATAGGATTATTCTTTAACAAGGTAGGACTGTTTATAGATACCAACTATTTTAGGGATTTATTTTAATACATTTTAAAAATATAAATTAAAAATATGAAATTATAACTTTAATGTTGATCAAATATAAATTAATGTATGAATACTTTTATATTCCTGGTTTTATCAGAATTAACCAGTTGAATACCAGATTACACACAAAGATCGTAAATTACCAACAGAAAGGAAACATCAGTTATTACAACAAATGGCTGCAAATCCATCACCAGCAACGGTAACAGGTGTAGGTCATCGACTAACACGGCTAAATTTGGCTTGTCAACCAAGTTCCTCGGATATCAAACCAACAACAATGATGACATCAACCATAGATACAGCTTCAACAACATCCACCTGCTCAGCATCAGTAATATCCATCAGAGCCAATAATATCATTGCCCAAACTAATCCATCAGTGAAATATTTTCGAATACTAGATGCTGATCCATACGATAAACAATCCAACCCAAATGGCATCATAAATCTTGGTACAGCCGAGAATAAACTCTGTGCTGACATTTTATCTAAAAAGGTAAAAACAAAGTCCGTATTTTCTCCGTCTTTTGTTTATGTGTTTTTTATGGATTAATGTGTTGTGATTGTTGTAATTTTATATTAGTTGTATGTAAAGCGCCCGAAAGCAACTCACTGAGTTGAATTGTTGGCGCTATATAAATCAATTATTATTAATATTATTTATTTTGTCATTCTACAGTTTATAAAATCTAAATCTAAATTAGTTCCCATACCATCGTAGTTTTAAAAGTTCGTATGTTTACTTCCAATAGTTTGTAGAATCTAAATTAGGTCCCAAGCCATCGTAGTTTTAAAAGTCCGTATGTTTACTGTCTACAGTTTATAGAATCTGACTCAATCTAAATTAAGTCCACAAAAGTCGTAGTTTTAAAAGTCCGTGGATTAATTTCCTACTAGATTAAAGAAACTAAATTAAGCCTAAAACCATGTTTTAAACTACTGAAATGTACTCAAATTGTGTTTTTTGTATCATTTAATTAAAATAAACGCTAGATGATTTAAATTCATCTCGATTCAAAACAGACCCATCAAGTGATTACAGCGAAACTAAAAAATTGCACTGACTTAGGTTGACTATATTCTAATATACATCGTCTGCAGTGAATGTCCAATGTTGACAAATGTTCAATAAATACGTTAGTCCACTCGACCACCCAGTCCTCTCAAATTTGGAACAAATTTTCTCTCTTTTAAGGATGTATTATGTAATAGCTGACCATTTTTGCTATAATTGTTCAAAAATAGATAATTCAAAATGAATATATATTAACAATGTCATTCAATTACTTTATTATCGTTACAGCGGTACCTGTTAGCCTCGATTCGCTATTTTAATTAAATCATTAAATGGCGATCATGTTTTAATCCGATGATCTAGACAGTTAATTATAAGCTTGTCATGTTAATAAATGTTTGAATAATAAATGAAAGAATATTTAAAGATAAAATAAAGACCTGTAATAGACAGATTTAGTTCTAACATAATGAATCTTTAAGCATGTTTTGGTGTATTTGTTTCTAGTTGGCTGAATTCCAACACAAACCAGAAGAAGAGTCGTTGAATTATTATCCAGCATTAAAAGGTGCATCAACGTAAGTATTTAAATTGATTGATCTAAAGACAGTTAATTGGATTCTGTAGTCGAAAGTACCGTTCAATAAGAAGCCGCGGTGGCTCAGCGAGTAACAAACCGCGGTGGTTCAGCGAGGAAGAAGCCTTGGTGGATCAGCGAGTAAGAAGCCGCGATGGCTCAACGATTAAGAAGACGTGATGGTTCAGCAAGGAAGAAACCACGGTGGCGTGTAGGAAGCAGTTTCGCTAACCAGGAAGCGTCGGGTTTGCTCTCGGTGTTGCCCTAGAACGTCCATTGTGATTTTGAATAGGATGACAAACTGATGCCCTGTGGACACATTGACACCCGGAATTTGAAATAAGAGTAGGCCGCAGTGCCGCTCCCCGGGCAAAATCTCCTTCATGGCGTATGTATGGCGTATTTACACCGATAATTTCAATTTCAAAAACTTTTGCTTTCACTCCTTGATTGCACCATTTCCAGAATTTTTTTTTCCTTTAGAGAATATCTGATTGCAATTACCATTTTGTATCAGACGAGTCCAATAAGACAACCTCCCACCCCACCACCACAACCACCACCACCACCAGATGAATGTGTTAGTCTATCTCACGTGAAAGTTAAACCCTTCTTTCTCGCTCTTTCAGATTTCGTTCAGCAGTTGCTAAATTTGTAGAGCGTCATTTTAAATCTAATCACCGCATTGATCCTGAAAATGTAAGTTAATTAGAAATATCTGATATAAATAAATGGACCATTTAAAGAAGCATCATGTAAGATTTAGACAAAGATCTGACAAATTCTAGTTATAATATACCTATAATTCTAGTTATAATAGACTTAGGGAATATCTTGAAAATTAAAGTCAAATTACTTGGGCTGCTTGGAGAATACTGGAGTCTCGATTATCATTCCTACGGTTGTTACGATAGTAAACAAAGTCTCGATTATCAATTTTTATTTTTACTTAAAGGAGCTAAGTCGCTAATATTTCGGACCTAGAAATTAACACAAATGGGTCGCAACGCATACAATAATGTAATATGAATGTATATATATTGATTTACATTCAATCGTTTCTGTTTTTACTGTAATTTCTAATCAGTTAGGTTCGGCGAAATACGCCAGTATTTTCAATCGAATTTCAATCTCTAGCGTCTGGTTATTCCAGTCTGCGCCGTTAGTATTTATTGGGCATGCTCTCACGATAAGAATATAACGTCACCATTTGACATGACTTGTGGAATATGCCTAGCTTCGTTTTTCGTGTCCCTTATTACAAATAGCGCTGAAACGCATTATGATACACGATTTGTGTACCAATTGTAAAATGTTTATTTTGTCTTAAATATTGGATATCAGAAGACCATCTTTTCCCGGTAAGATCACAACATCAATGTTGATTTAAACCGACAAATAAATCGTGTTTTCAATGTCGAAGATTTTGGATGATATTGAGTTAAAGACTCTTTAAATCATTAACCACTAATCTTGTCTGAATTTAAAGAATCCGATGGCATCGAGAATTGATTATGGTCTTATCATGTTAATAAATGTCTAATTAATAATTTAGATAACATTTAAGGTCTAAAGCAAGATCTACAATAGGCAGATTTAACTCGTGATTAATGTATGTTTAAAGATTTGGTTTCATTTCAGTTGGTTGTTTTATGTGGAACAACACCAGTTATAGAAACTTTATCTTTTGCTGTCGCTGAACACGGAGGTTAGTAATCAAGTCTGGTAGATGTCACACCCTCCTACCCTACTCCACCCCCTCCTACTCAACCCCTCTCCTCTCTTTATCTTTTGCTGTCGCTGAACGCGGAGGTTAGTAAAATTGACTAGTAGATTTTACACCCATTCTACTCCACCCCATCCTCATTTTATACACCTGCCCCTGTTTAAACTGACGCCAACCTTTATACAGCTGCCCCTGTTTTAAACTGAACCTAAGCTTTCTTTATACAGCTGCCCCTGTTTAAACTGACGCCAACCTTTCTTGGTACATCTGCCCCTGTTTAAACTGACCCTAACCAATCCTTATACACCTGTCCCTGTTTTAAACCGACGTTAACCTTTCTTTGCAACCAACTAACTACTGTATCTGTCTATGGTGAACTATTGTTATGAATAATCTGGCCAGATGACTCTATACATTACGAGATTGTCTGGAATGAAATGAAATGGGGATTAACGTCCTACTATTCTGCCCCTACTAGTCTAATGAAGACGGGCATATACCACACATCGTGTTTTGAGGGAAATTTTACTCGGACAGCGGCACTACACCGGATCCCGGTTTTCACTTCTAACCCGAACGACTATACGCTGACCCATACTAGGCTCACTGTCCTGAATCCCGATGAACTTTTTCGGCCAACGCAGAGTTCGAACACGGACCTCCAGGTTACCGAGCCAACGTCTTACTCACTGAGCCACCGTGCCCCCCACCCAGTACAGATATCTAGCTTGACTATTTCATATTTCAGATAGTATTTGAGACATTGTACGAATACTCGTTCTGGAACACCTAATAACACTACTAATAAAGTTGACATAGCTAAACAATTTGTTGTAAGCTCCATGACTAAGCTCGAAAGCTCGATCCCAGGCTTGTTGGTGTCATAGTTAGTTAGCTAGCTCTCCCTCTCTCTCTCTCTCTTTCTCTCTCTCTCTCTGTATTAATGGACTGTGAGAAACGATACCAGTGTCCCTTTAATTTACTAGGTCTAGTACTAGGTCTAGTAATACTCGTTGTTTATCAAAGATTATATAGATATTTGGGTCAAGTATGTATTCACAATCATATCTTAATACTAGTTTTTAACATTAGTTAGACCGTTGATTTTCTGATAAAAACTAGTCTGGGGAGTCAGTGTAACCCTGAGATAACGAATTATTCTTATTATTTCAATGACCAAACCTATTCATTTATCGCCCTTGTTCAATTTTATAAATCTTGTTGACGTAGACTTCTCTTTAACAATAATGACCGACCGTAAGATCACCTGGAAATCGTGCGCTAATATTTTTTTTTAATGAAGCGCGTGAATGAAAACTTTTATGTGTGGGCATTTATTTCTTTGTCTGACAATCGATATTTTTAACCCATGTTTTTATTGTGATATTTTATAGACTACTTCATGATACCAACACCCTATTATCATAGAATATATAATGATATTAATGATCGTGCTGGTATAAATTCACTAGACGTTCCATTATATGGAATGGTATGTATAAACAATCATACTTATAGTCACACATAGATCTAAATTTAGACCATTGTTTCAATGCCATGGGATGTAACTTTAACATTCCACTTATTTTAAACAACCGGGTTATTGTAGACGTGCGTACGTCATGTACTGTCTGTCATTCATACCCCATGCACTATCCGCAAGGCATGCGTCATGCACTGTCCGCAAGGCATATGCCATGACTATCCGCAAGGTATACCGGGTAAATCCCAAGGAACTTTCTCGGCCAAAATCCAGTAGATGATTCTACTTTCATTTTATTTGTTTACTATCAACTATCTGCAGCAACTCTATGGACAACTCGCATAAAGCTTAGCTGATCAGTGAATTGCTTTTTGCTACAATTACAGATACAGACCGCTTTGCTGGTTGGAAAAAATGCCACGGAGTTATAGGAGTTACAATTTTCCTGCTGTGTCATACGTTTTTCTCAATAATGACCATTACTATCTATTACTACAGCAAGGCGATATAAAAAAAGCATATGATCTGACTGTGGCTGCGTTTGAGACAACTTATAAAGATGCAGTGACAAAGGGGTTAAAGGTTAAAGGTATTATTTTACTGAGTCCTCACAATCCTACTGGTGATATTTATACCAAGAATCAACTGATCGACATTCTTAACTTCGCTAACAAGTAAGTACAACATACAGCCTTTAAGTGTAGGTATAAAGCACGTCCTTTAAGGACATATACAGTACACCGCCTTTACGGACATGTACAGGACGCCGCCCTTAAGGGCATATACAGGACACCGCCTTTAAGGACATGTGCAGGATATAACCGTTAAGGCCACCTAGTTTAAGTGCACGTATAAGACATTCCATTTAAGGACATGTACAAGCCAGTTGTTTTGTGTAAAAGACATTTCCTACATTTCCAGGTACAAGACAACTTAACGTCTTGAATATTACCATTACCTTACCTAACCGCAAAAGAAAGTAAATGAAATGAAATAAAATGAAGGCCCAAACAGTGTGTTATAAGCGACATGTTGCCCGGATAGCGGCACCATGGCTTTTTCTTATTTCGAGTTCTTTAACGTACACGTCAATGTGTACACGGGACTTCAGTTCTTCGTTCCATCCGAACAACTAGACACCGTTCCGCGTCAGACCCGGTGGGGTCGGATGGCTGAATGGTTAGCGTGCGCGCGCTGTATCATAAAGTCTGTCATTGAGTCGACTGGCGTGGTTTCTAATCCCCGGTTGTACGTGACAAGGAGTAGGGTCGCCTGTCCAACCTCGTGGGTTTTCTCCGGGTCCTCCGGTTTCCTCCCACTGCTAAAGACCCCTACGCGCAAGCGAATTATTGAAATAAAATTAAACCATATGTTAGTCCCGAAATGACCTAGTTTGTGTCGAGTGGACGTTAAACCCCATTTCTCTCTCTCTCTCTCGCGTCAGACCCTCAGTCATATACGCCCAGAAAAGATCTCTTTCTAATGAACGTCTACTTACGAATTATGCGCTTCAACTTACGATTTGTTCAGAGACAAATCTTGAATAATCAAATTCGCAGTTTTAATCACACAAAAGTCATTAAAATACGTTCCAATTTGAGAAAATTATTGTGGGGATGCTCAATTGACAGCTGAAACATATTCATTAGATATCATTACGTCACGATTCTACTCACACCACCTCCGTGGCTGGCACTAACAGAACTGTGACAGTGCTGCATTCCGCATCACTCGATTGCAATTCTGTCAATGCGGGATGTTCTGGGCTGACAATCGAGCATTCCCAGTGTATAAAGAGACCATAACAAAAGACAGCACGCGGTTCTTTGACAGGGGGAATAACTACAGTTATAGATAACTATGGTGGTTACTATTACAACAGATCATTTCCCCATTGACTGTTAATTCTCGTCTCTTATAGCGGCTCTAACTTTTTCGTTAGGTAGAACGCTTTCTACATCAAATGGAGCAAAATATGGCAATCACTTTCCCGAAAGCACGCACGAGGTTCACCATGAAAAACTTGAGATACACAAACTGGAAGTAGAGACAAATTTCATTTCATTTTTATTTCTGTTTTCTAGGTACAAGTTACATGTTATAATGGATGAAATCTATGCCCTGTCTGTATTTGACACATATAAAGATAAGTTCACCAGTGTCCTACAACTAGACGTACCCGATCCAGATAGAGTTCATGTCATCTGGGGATTCAGTAAGGTTCGTTATTACTCAACACTTTTATATTTGTATACATGTGAACGGATCAAAAGATCTCCGATAATGGTGACCCTTTTCGAAAAGGCTACAGTTGTTATTTTCTTTCAAATTTTTTAACAGAAGCATTGAGGAAAATTTTCCCCGGACAGTGGCGCTACTGCCTAATCGTATTTCGAATTCCAGCTGTCAAATGTTCTTTTACGTGTACGCCAATGTGTACACGGGACCTCGGCTTTTTCGTATCATCCGAACGACTAGACACTGCTCTTGCCATGCCCTCCGGCCTGTGCCACTAACAAGGGGAAACCACACCGGATAATCCCAAGGAACCTTGTCGGCCAACACCGGGAACCAACGGAGGCAGCATCTTACTCACTGAACCACTGTGGCTCCCCTAAAGTAGCATAGAAAATAATTGATATATTACGTGTTAAGCGATTTTACCTCGGACAATTAGCTATTCCTAGTGAAGTAGGTAGCAGACCCAAAACTTACTATAGTACCTCACTAGTCAATGAGATGTGTATTTGGATATATATTTGGATATTTCAGGATTTCGGACTGTCAGGTTATAGAGTAGGATGTGTTTACTCGAGGAATCAACAGGTTATAAAATATTTTGAAACCGTAGCCATTTTCTCTATGCCGGCCGCTCCTATATTACAACGACTGGAATATTTAATCTCAGACACAGGTAAAGGGTTAATCTTTTGGCCTATTTTCTCTGGGTCCTCCGGTTCCCCCCCCCCCCCACTACTAAAGATCCCTACATGCAGGCAAATTATTGAAATAAAATTGAACCATATGTTAGTCTCGAAAAGACCTAGTTTGTGCTAGGTGGGCATTAAACCCTCTTTCTCTCGTATTTTGACCTATTAACCTATTGACCTATATGTTTATGTTCGTATTTTGACCTAGTTGGCCATTGTCTCAATATTACGGGTTGGGTGCGCATGGTTTAACGCTTGGGCCTTAGACCATAAGGTCTGTTATTGAATCAAGCGGCGTGATTTCAGCTACTTTGTGTGTGTACTTGACAAGGAGTAGGGTGGACTTTCAAACCACAGCTAAAGACACTTGTAACGCGCAAGAGAAGTACTGATAACAAATTGAACCATATGTTAGTCCAGAAATGACCTAGTTTGTGTCGAGTGGTATGTATTTATATTTATAGATTGGATAGAGAAGGAATATTTACCAGTTTATCAGAGAAGATTAAGAGAATCGTTTGATATTGTTAAACAACGTCTTGAGAAACATGGTATCAGAGTTTATCCATCACAAGCCAGCTTCTTTATCTGGGCTGATGTAACAAAGGTTCGTTTATTAATGGAGAAGGACAGAGGGTCTAACAAGGGAAATGAAATGGGGTTTAACGTCCTACTGTTCTGTTCCGACTGGGCTAATGACGACGGGCATACGCCATACAGTGTGCTAGGAGGGAAGCTTTGCCCGAGCTGCAGCACTATGGCCTACCTTTATATTGGATGCCAACTGCCAAGGGATCTTTTATGTGCACACCAATGTATACACGGAACTTCGATTTTCCATTCCATCTGAACGTCTGTCCTTGACGACTAAAAAACTGTCCTTGACTACTAGACAGCTGTCCTTGACGACTAGACAGCTGGCCTTGTCAGACAAAGGGGGGAAATTTAGCAAAGGGGGAAAAAATACCCATAACCCCCCCCCCCATCCCCGGAAACCTGCTTCGTTAATAAACCCTTAAAATAGGCCCTGTCCCTCCCTCAACTAACTACTATCATAACTGATACGCATCTTAGAATTTGTCCTATTGCTAATAGAAATAACACATAATATAAATATCCTGAATCCAATTCAATAATTATTTTTAATAGGACCAAGATAAATGGCATCTAATTTGTATCCAATTGATCCCTCTTTTTAACATTAATTTTTAATTGTGCTAATAGCTCATCAAGCCATTCCCAAGCGTTACCAGTACTTTGTGGAATTTTGGCGCTATTATTAAATAGAGAGTTATCTCCCTTTATATTTGTATTTTCAGTATTTGAAAGAAAGAAGTTATAAAGCTGAAGAAGAATTATTAAATAGGATATTACAAGCTAAAGTTTATGTAATGACGGGACAACATAATTTTAGCTGTGAACCAGGATGGCTTCGAGTTATATTCTCGGTTAACAGAGAACAGTTAAATATTGGTAATATTAGCTCGTTTGTTGAGTTGGTAATGGACTTAATCCATTAATCTATTAAAGGCTCAATACCACTATTGTTGTAACTGAATAATATGTCCCAATCTTTATTCTGGTCAACAAATTGTACTATTGTACAATATTCCAATTAATTGATGATACAAATTTCATCTTAACACACCTAATTTAAAAAATTGGAAAAATTCAACTAAATGATTTGAAAAGCCTGGCGTAAAGCTTTTCAAATGTGACTTGGATTTAAAAATATTTTTGAACTCTTTGGACAAGTAAAATAGGATTTAATGGATAATTTACAGAACAAGTAGGACACTAACACATCTAGTACTTAGAATAAGGCTATTTTTTATTTTCTGGAGCTGTCAAGCCAGCAAGAGTGTTATTGTCCCTTTAATACATTATTTATGTTCCAGGACGATCAGTCATTCTACTGGTCAGGAGAAATGATGCTAGACTGAATGACGTGTGTTGAACTCCGTACAACTCTATCTCCAACCTCTAATTGTGTATGACCTATCAACCTTGTGTATGACCTTAAACACTATATCCAACTTAGTTAAAGACCGCTACCGTTCTAAACAAACTTATTGTAAGTGAATCTGTCCCATAGATTTCCCCGGTGTAATATTTAGCTGAAATGTTGAGTCTTGATCGTGGTGTTATTGTATTTTATTTACAGGTCTGGACAGAATAGAATCTGTATTGATCAGCATAGAAGAGGAACAGGCTTACAAACCAAAACATATTTCTCGTTTGTAATATAAAATACTAATGATCTTTATAAATCCCTATTCTTATCTTACTAATGTTCTCAATCTACCCCCGTTTATTGTGTTGCAAACTCGTTTGTAATATAAAAGATTCAGTGTTCTTTATTAATCCATATTCCATATATTATTAATGTTCTCATCTTACCTCCCTTTATTGGCCATATATTGTAAACATAACCGGGTCAATATATTTTTAATCTTGGTAAAAATAATTCTAAACAAATTATAACTTTGTTATCTATCTCATGTTAAATTTATACATACTCTTTGTTGACATAAACTTTAATACAGTCTTCTCATATTCACACACAAAATATGTAGATTGTTTTCTTATTTGAATAAATTACCATTCATTTGAATACAATTTTAGACCTTTTCGTTAAAATGTAACCTGTCTTGTACCACTGTAAATCGAAAGACCTAAGCAAACTCGTGTAAAATACATTGTCCTAACAATTATATTCTTCTTACCGAAAGAAAGGGGCTGGATGACCGAATGGTTAGCACATGCGCGCTGTATCATACGATCTGTCATTGAGTCATCTGGTAGGATTTCCATTCCCCGGTTGTACGTGACAAGGAGTAGGGTCGCCTGTTCAACCTCTTGGGTTTTCTCCGGGTCCTCGGGTTTCCCCCAAATGCTAAAACCCCAACGCGCAAGCTAATTATTGAAATAAAATTGAACCATATGTTAGTCCCGAAATGATCTAGTTTGTGTTGAGTGGAAGTTACACCCCATCTCTCTCTCTCTCTCTCTCTCTCTCTCTCTCTCTCTATCTTCTCTTAGCGAAAGAAGCACGAACAAAATTTCATCTGATCTCCATATTCATTTTTAGAATACGCGGACCTTTTGATCTGCTACGCCAGTTTCCTAATGGCCACTTGGGCGAACGTTAAGTTAATTTATCCAACTCATCATGTTAATCCTCTCTGTGAAACCAATCACTGTCTAAACTAATCGTTATAAGCTTATTGATTTTCAACGATTTCCGATAATTACTGCCAGATTTCTTACGGTTCTTGATCACTTTGAAAAACCTTGTGGACTCTTTAGTTGGACTTTGTATATTGACTAATGTCAACTGTAAAAACATTTCAATAAAGACAGCCCACTCGGTATAGCAAAGCCTTGGTAATGGAGGGCGTAACATTAAAGCAGTTCAATACAAGACATGTGGAACCTTGATAGTGGAGAGGTCTCGAATTCCAATAGCAAGGACACCCGGTCCTCAGTGGTCGTACCTGGTGGACTGACAAGCAACATGTGCCTAGTTGACTAGTTTATAGAATGGGACGAAAAATCGACATGCATGTAAAAGAAGAAGCTTTGACAGTTGGATATTGAAACGTCACTTTCGAAATGAAATGGAGTCTAACGTCCTACGTTTCTACACCAACTGGTCTAATGAAGAGGGCATACGTCATACTCTGTGGCATGCGCAGACAGTCGCACCACGGGCTACCCTTATTTCTAATAACAACTGTCAACAAACCTTTTACATGGACGTCAATGTGTAGACGAGATCTCGTGTTTTATTGTCCCATCCGATCGTCAAGACAGTGGTCCTGCGCCACAGACAAGGGGAAACTTCATAGAAAAACCCCGAGGATCCTTTCCGGTCAACACCGCGATCAAACCCGGTACCTCCTGGTTAACGAGCCCGTGCCTTCCTAACTGAGTCACCGCGGCTCTCTTCAACCTTTGGTAATCTGATATATTAAAGTTTTGTTTAAGAAAATAGTAACATATGTTTTATTATGCTAATGTAGTGAAAAGTATAAATGGTGGTTGTATAAAGATATGTAAACAAGATGATATGTTCCCAGGGTGGGAATTACCACTAGGCATCGTAGCCCATTGATCTAGCGTATTGCCTGTATAATACATTCAAAACCATCAGGTTCTCAATAACCAGGTATATTGGATACTGAAATACACCAAAATCTCTTTAATTTTGGGGACCCACTGATGTTTAAATCCGGTCTTGGATGTGCTTTTAAAATTTCTCCTTCAATTCGTATTTTCCCTGTTCTTCTTCATTTTGTGTCAGATTTACTCGATATTTGTTTTTTCCGCTTTTTCTACAAATAGAAAGAAAAAAACTATAATTTATTATATTAATTGACCGTGACAACGTTTCTGTGAACGTTTAGTAACAAAATGGATGGTGGACCTGTGGCGGAATGGTTTAGCGCGTGCGCTTTATATCATAAGGTCAGTAATTGAGTCAAATAGGGGATCACGTGGCTAAGTGGGTAAGACGCTGGCTCGCTAGCTTGGAGGTCGGGTGTTCGATCCCTGCATTGGCCGAGAAAGTTCATCCAGATTTTCCGGCATGGTATCCCCTTGTCAGTGATGCAGGATGGAGGGCCTGACAATGACTGCTGTCTAGTCGTTCGGATGGGACGAAAAACCGAGGTCCCATGTACATATTGGCGTGCACGTAAAAGATCCTTTGGCAGTTGGAATTCGATATAAGAGTAGACCATAGCGCCGTTGCCGGGCAAAATTTCCCTCATAGCACACTGTATGGCGTATGCCCGCCTTGATAAGCCCAGGTTAGGAGCAGAAAAGTAGGACGTTAAACCCCATTTCATTTCATTTCATTTGAGTCAACAAGACTTTTCCATTCCCCCCTTGACAAGGAGTAGGGTCGCCTCCCCAACCTCGTGACTTTTTATAAGGTCCTCCTACTGCTAAAGGTCCCTAAGCGCAAGCGAATTATTAAATTTCTATTAAACCTAGTTTGTGTCCAGTGGAATCTAAACCCAATTTCGCCCTTTGTATGTCAGATAACTGGAATTGAAAAAACGGGAGATGGTTTTACCTGCCTATCTGTTTCGCATCTTCAATTGTCTCTGGTAAAGTCTGGTTCAGTGTTTCTGGTAGTAAAAGAGATAAGAGACCAGCAGCTACAGAAGCTCCACCAAATACCAACAGTGGTAGAGCAGTACCAAAATCACCAGTAACAAGTTTACCCTGGAAAGAAAATTAAGCATAATTAAAACACCTTTAGTCGGAAATTTAATGGTACGTACCATAAGTTTTCTTGGGGAAATTCAAGATCCTTGGTTGCTAGGTCGGTATGTTGACCAGTGGATCTAGACGCTCAACCAATTACCAAAAGAGGGGACGAGCAGTTCCAAAATCATCAGAACTAATTTGCGATAGACAAGGACAGATACCGCATAATCAAAACTCATGTGGTCGGAAAATTGATCCCACAATGGTGTATTGTCGTCGGTTGCCGCGGAATTTGGGGGGGGGGGCATTGTTGCTCAGTGAATAAGTTGCATTAAAGATCCATCCCGGTATCCTTTAGTGGTATTGGACGGAGGTTCTGGAAGAAAAACCGAAGTCCACCCGTGTGCTCGTAGATGTGTTGTAAACGATCAATTGCCACTTGAATTTCTCACCATCTGTTTGTCTATATTATAGATTTTCAAATACCTACCAGGTCGGCTACATAAGGGGACACCATTCCTCCAATTCGGGCAAACAAGGAGCTAGCACCCAAGGCAGAATTTCTGACCACCGTAGGATAAAGTTCAGCAGAGAAGATGTAAATAATAGCAAAGGCAGCAGAAGCACCAAGTTTACCAATCATGGAAAGAGTTATAACAATCCATTCGCTTGCTGAAGATAAAACAGTATTAATTTAGTTATGGACGATATAGTATAACATGGCTGATGAAGATGGGTATTCGTCAAGCAGTGTGCTATAAGTTAAGTTACAACTGCCAATGGTTCTTTTAAGTGCACACAGTTCTTGCTATGGACATACATCATGATGCAGTGTGCTATGAGAGATATTTGTTCTGGTAACAGTTTACTCAAATTCCAACTGTTAATGGTTTTTTTTACCTGCACGACAAAGTGTATACGAGACATCGGTGTTTCGTTTCATCCTACACATTGTTTGTGTCAGAGCTAAAGCCTCTCCTCTAGAGGTAACAGGTCACCATGTGGGGAATTTAAGCTTACTTTATTACTTGATACTGAAGGAAAGGACGGAGACAATGAGAAAAGCAACCATGGACTGGTTGAATTACTTACATTCATCAAGATATAAAACCGGGAATATTGTTAATATACAGGCTATTCCACCTAGTAACATACTCGTACAATGTAGAGCTTTTCTACCCCATCTATCCAGGAGAATCAAACACAGGACGTACGCAGCAGTTTCTACAATATTAGCAGCTGTGAAGTTTAGGTAGATGTCGCCACCGAGATTACCAACATTTAAACCAAGACCATAATATACCATACTAACAACCATCCTGTTCATAAAGAGAGAGAAATGGGGTTTAACGTCCACACGACACAAACTAGGTCATTTCGGGTCTAACAAATGGTTCAATTTTATTTCAATAACTTGCCTGAAGGTCAGGGTCCTTGGCAGTGTGGGGAAACCATAGGCCCGATGGAAAACCACGAGGTCACAGGCAAATCTACTCCTTGTCACGTACAAGCGGGAATTCGTAACCACGTCAAGTGACACATTGAAAGACTTATGATTTAACACGACCACATAACACCCCATAACAAAAGAAATTAATTGGAATTAGATTTAACGTTCCACTTGTCTACTGAAGACGGCCGACATATTCCGTTTACTCTTCCTCGAATATCAACTGCCCGTGGTCTTTAACGTGCACACTAATGAGTACATTGTTGAATCTCGGTTTTTCATCCCATCTTAACGACTAAGCACTTCCCTCTGTCAACTCTGTATCCTGCACCACTGTGTAACGTTTCCCCAGTAGCTCTTGGTTAGTGGGAAATATGACCCCCCCCCCCACCGTCACCTCAATTAATTTCCCAATACAAAAATTAAAACAGGAGAAGACCATCTTGATAATCTCTCCCTAATTTCTGTTTCTGCCCAGATGTTGTACACACCCATTTACTCAGTTATGTCATAAAAATTGATCTAACTCAGTTATGTCATAAAAATGTAATCTAAAACAATTCGTTACAAAAATAAAATAAAGATTCCCCAAAAGAGACCAATTGTCCCTACATATCTTACCAATTGAAAAATATAATCAGAGTTCTCATGAGCAGGATGGGTGATGTAAACATCTGCCAGACCTTGGTTTGACCTCCTTTATCTTTAGCCAAAGTTTCCTCGTCAAACAAATTAACCGGAAGCTTCACTTTATTCACCTCAGCAGCTTTACGGAGAATTTTCTGGGCTTTTTTCGTCTTTCCTTTGGATATCAGCCATCTTGGAGATTCTGGTACCAACCTGGTTAATTGATAAATGTAAACAAGATTTTTATTGGTCAATAATCTACAAAGAACTTCACTAGTTATATGATTCTAATTCTCTATTATGGTGTCATTGCCGAACGTTGACATTAGATATTGAAGATGGGGTTATCGAATTCTGTGAATGTTGCTTTAAAATCATTTTTAGTAGGTGAGTGTGAAGGTTCTTCCATACGTGTTATTTCACTAGTTATATGATTCTAATTCTCTATTATAGCGTCATTGTCGAATGTTGACATTTGACATTGAAGATGGGGTTGTCGAATTCTGGGAATGTTGCTTTATAAACATTAATTTTTAGGAGGTGGGTGTGAAAGAGAGAGAGAGAAATGGGGTTTAACGTCCACTCGACACAAACTTGGTCATTCCGGGACTAACATATGGTTCAATTTTATTTCCATAATTCGCTTGCGCGTAGGGGTCTTTAGCAGTGGGAGGAAACCGGAGGACCCGGAGAAAACCCACGAGGTTGGAGAGGCAACCCTACTCCTTGTCACGTACAACCTGGGATTCGAAACCACGCCAGTTGACTCAATGACAGGTCTTATGATAGAGCACGCACGTGCTAACCATTCGGCCATCCAACCCCCCAGGTGGGTGTGAAGGTTCTCCCATATGTGTTATTTTATCTTTATGGTGTCAATATTCTATGTATACAATTCTGTGAATATTTCGTCGTTCATACAGGAGGACCTGATTAAATTAAATCTTTAATGATAGTAAAAAGACAATGGGTATAAATATAACAAGTTGTAAGTACGAGTTGTAATTACCAGTAGAATGATAGTAAAAAGACAATGGGTATAGATACAGCAAGCTGTAGATTACTCCAATCTCGTATAAAGTAGGCCAACAATCCCAGTACAAATAAACCGATACACCAGAACATCATCATCACCACACCAGACCGAGATCTCTTCGACGGACCAACTAACTCCATGACTGTGAATATATAATAAAAGTCAAACCTTGTGGAGTCTTGAGAAATATGAAATCAAATGGCGTTTAATTTAGATAGCCTCTCTTTTAATATCGGTACCATTTATTTGTAATCCAATATTTGTTAAGAAATTATTTCTCGGATCATTTTTCATTTTGAACTTGTTGAAGTTACAGCTTGCTCCTGGCAACAAGTGAACCTATGGGATCTTTACCCGGTCACTTCAATGTAAAGTAATTTGAGCTAGACACGGAAGAGGGAAAATGGCTATCAGCTAATTCCTGATACAGTATATATACCCAACTTACCGATAACAAAACCAGACATGAATGTCCCTGAACTGGCAAATCCAATGAAGAATCGACAGACCATGAACACAGTAAAATTCGGAGCAAATGCCGTAGCAAACGACACTGCAATCTGCAGGACAATTCCGACCATTAAGGCCACTTTTCTTCCGAGTCTACAATGTTCAAACAAAACAGTAAATAATTTTTAATCGAACCAATTTAACAATTTACGTGGAGTGGTATGTGATTTAACATCCACGGACCGAGCCAGAGCACATTAACTTATATTCTGACAAGTGCCTAGGCTTTCATAAATTAACCGTAAACCTTAGAGATCTTCCATTCGCATGTCCTCAAGGTCACCGCAAGGCGCTTAATGTCTGGATTAGCCTTGGTATTTAATTGCAAAAACTATTAAATTGTGTTTTAAGGCACAGAAAGACAAAACATCTTTAATAACGTTAACTTACAAATCAGCAAAAACTCCAAAGCCTAGTGATCCAACGAATCTTCCGGCCATCATGATCATGTTGGCATGGGAACGGTATATGGTATATTGACAAACAATATTTTGCTGTAATAGAGAATTGGTGTGTGTGAGACAGGATTAAAATACGAACAATGGTTTTTAGTCGGACCTGATGATGTCCGTGTTTGTGAGACAGGATTAGTCGGATCTGATGATGATGGGTTTTTTTTTATATATAATTAATCGTGTAACATACTTCAATACGTTCTACAGCTGAGGGTTAACGTCCGTTGCTAGATAACGCATGCTAAGGCGAATGACTGGAAGCAGGGTTATGGGCAGGGGAGAGGGAAAGTGGATACTGGTGACGCCATCTCGGGTTGTTGGCAATAGACAAGGGATACTGGTGATTGGAAGCAAAGTTTTGGATATGAGATCTGGGACACTTGTGACGGGAATAAGGGCAGGCGACAGGGGACAGGAATACAAATGACTTGAATCAGGATTGGGGACATGCGACAGGGGATACTAGTGACGGGAATCAAGGTTGAGGGCAGGCGACAGGGAATACTAGTGACGAGAAACAGGGTTGAGGGCAGGCGACAGGAGACACTAGTGACGGGAATCGGGGTTGCGGGCAGGCGACAGGGGCAGTAGATATTGGTGACTGGGAACAATGTTCTGGACGAGAGAGAATAGCAGGAGGCAGTGGGTATTGGTGACTAGAAACAATGTTTTGGACGAGAGAGTTGGGATATTGGTAACGGGAAGCATGGTTGTGGGCAGGAGGCAGTGAATAGATGCCAGTTGAGAAGTTAAAATAATTTGATCCTACCTCTGTCATGAACGTATCAATAAATACAGATTTATCGTAAACCCAGCTATTACAGTCATCTTGTGTATTATTTACATGAACCAATGAACGTTCAGTAATTTCTGTTAAATTGACGTCATATCTCTTACATGATGACCATTTACCATCAGTATCACGTGGTATAGAATGATTGACGTATAATTGATGTAATACGTCACGTGGTTGGTATGACGTATCATTGTATGGTTGAGACAGACGACACCTGAAAATAACACCATTAAATGGTAGGAAGGATGAACGTCTCCTTGAAAATATTACTTGTCCATTTTCAGACTTATGGTCACTCGGGCAATTCTGGCAGGGCCGGGAAAAAGTGGCGTTTCTTGATATTCTGTTTCAAATACCAACTGCTGTGGAACCCAAACACGCCCAATAATGCTGTTTGGAGCTTTTAACCCCCCAATACTCCTCTGAAATGCATGAGTTAGACTACGCCCCATTTGAACTAAGTCAGACACCGGGTGTAATACACCAGAAGATACATCAAAATCTGATTCCGTTAGAGTCTAAAATCTAATTCCGTTAGAGTTTAAAATCTGATGAATCTAAAATCTGATTTCGTTAGAGTCTAAAATTTGATCCTGTAGGAGTCTAAAATCTGATTTCGTTAGAGTCTAAAATCTGATTCTGTTAGACTCTATTTCACCAAACATTCTACTAAATCAAAGTAATGGTTTTGATTCCCCCGCTTGTACGTGTTCAACATCGTGGGCTTACTCTTGGTCCTCCAGTTTTATTCCGATGCTAAAGACCCCCAGGCACAAGCAAATTATTGAAATAAAATTGAACAATATGTTGGCTCCGAAATGATCTAGTTTGTGTCGAGTGGACGTTAAACCCCAATTATATCTCCATATTTGAGTCTGTTCCGTAATTATTCCACCAAATCAAAGCGGTTAATCACATTTAAGTATAATGGAAATGGAATGGGTTTTAGCACCCTAGTTTCTGCTCTAATAGAAATAACACGATCAAAAAATAATAATTCTGTACTTTATATTTACGTGTATATATAGCGCAATCAAAGAGGTTTGGCTCCTTTAAACCGAATCAATTTATTTCAAACCTTTACCTGTGATCTTGTATCTAGCGAAGGTGTACACCCTTTAAATCAAATTATTAGAAATCCAATTACCCGTGGTCAGGTATAAATTGGTTAAAGACTAGTTTTAGACCCAATGTCGTTTATTTTAAGGTTCCAACGAATAGAGCTATAGATCCTTTAAATCAAATTGTAGAAATCCCTACCGTTGTCTGGTATAGCCAGGGTAAATACAGGTATTGTTTTAGAATCTTACCTGTCTGTGATCAGGTATAGCCAGGGTAAATACAGGTATTGTTAGAAAGAATCTTACCTGTGATCAGGTATAGCCAGTATAAATACAGATATCGTTAGAATCTCACCTGTGATCGGGTATAGCCAGGGTAAATACAGGTATTGTTAGAATCTCACCTGTGATCAGGTATAGCCAGGGTAAATACAGGTATCGTTAGAATCTCACCTGTGATCGGGTATAGCCAGTGTGAATACAGATATTAAAGTCAGCAAGGCGTTAGTTACAGCTGGTAAACACAGTAAATAATATAACCGTTTCTGGTATTTACCAAAATCACCCAATATCTCTATAATATTATTAAACTTCATCTTGTATTAAACAACTTCCTGTAATGTTAAAGTTCAAGGTTAATGAATACAAGAAATTAAATGTGGTTTAACATCTTAGTGTGCTTTGAAGAAACAATGAATGCCCGGATAGCGACACTACGACCTACTCTCATGCTTATGTTTACACGGGACCTCGGCCTACCCGAACAACTAGACGATTGTCCTTGTCAGGCCCTCCGTCACGTACCACTGACAAGGGGGATCCACGCCGGAAAACCCCGATGAACTTTCTTGTCCAACGTCCTACTCACCGAGCCACCGAGGGACGATAAACAGCATTTATTAAATCAACAAAGCACATCGATATGCCGAAAAATCAAATACCTGAACAGGGAATAAAATACCTGAACACAAAACAAATTAACAAATTAACTGAACATGGAACAAAATACGCAAAAAGAACAAAAGCAGTCACATAAAAGTAAAGCTACCTGCCGTAACAAAAAAAAACCCTAAAGCTGTTAGATCACCGACAGATTGCCCCTAAACAATAACCCCTTTACAACGAGAGATGTTACCAGATGTTCTAGGTACAATAAGTATATACAGTTCACTTCACACAGATTTATTAACTATAACAGGTTTATATATTTCACATTTTAAAGTTAAATCGTTTTATAATTATAACAGATATTACAAATAGAATAAGTACTAAACACTTCACAGTTAAACACAGGTATAATTCAGATGTTGAACACCATAACAGCTAATATACCTTGTAAAATTATAACAGCTGATTTACCTGGTTGTAAAATGACTCTCTTATTTATATGAGATATTTCCCATATAAATGTATTTATTGTTCCATATTGTTCCATATTGTTCCATATTGTGTATTATATATATCTTCACTGTACTATGGTTGTCATTCATTCTTAGATAAACCCTCGTCGAAACGTTACCAAAAATAAACTTTTAATTAACTTGTATTCCATATGACTGTTTCATGTGCGCTTCTCATTCAGTTACTAAATGCCGTTTAAACAATTTAATGAGTATATACAATTCATATTTAACTATATACTAACACGTACTTAATTGTAACATGTGATACAGGTAAATGTATAGGTTGTAACATGTGATACAGGTAAATGTATAGGTTGTAACATGTGATACAGGTTACTCGAGAGAGGCAAGGTACAAAGTATGACAGAACACTAAAATACCTACAATCAAATTAACCACATTCTCCATTACAGAAGAATCAAGTGTCATTCAGTACTGTGTGTCTTAAAGTAGCAATATTTCACTTTAATTTTGATATCAATGAACAAAAACATTTTAAAATGAAAATATTTGGCGCAAACAGAGCAAAGCCGTTATTATATATGGATAATATTTATTAGTTGGTTAACATTGTGAGTAATCAGGCATTAGTCATTCTGTAGATGTTATGTCACTGAGGTGTTAAAATCGTGACTATCTTTAATGATATAAACCACTGTTGGTCAGGTTTGTATATTCAATAGATGTTATAATTAGTCACGAGTCTACACGGGTTGTAACATCTTCTACACCTGCCAATTAATGACCACTAAACATTAGTTTAGAATACTTGTATGATTTAATGATCACAAATTGCATTAGTAAATGAACGGCCAGTTTTACAAAATGCGGGGTCCAATTTGGGAGGCCTGAAGTTCTAAGATATGAATAGGGCTATATTATACAGCCCAGCTGTCAGATTGGGGTGCAGGCTGTTTCGTAACCTGGCTGTTTCGTACTTAGTTCATTCGTACCTCACTTCGTACCTCAAATTGATTCGTACCTTTTCCTATGTTATTGAAATCAGTTGAAAGAAATTGAATATGCCGAACCAGAATTAGAATATGCACGAGATTTGTACATCAAATTGATTAGTTCCTTTTCCTAAATCCAACGGCTGCGCTAAATTTATAAAAATGGCTGCCGAACGAGAATTAGAATACACACGTGATATTACCTGGAAATTGTGTAAGTTGGTGAGCTGCGAAGGTCAATGTCTAGTGCAGGGCCCGATATGGAGAAGTTGGTCAAATGTGCCGAAAATTGGCCCTAGTATCAGGTTAACAGTGGTTTACAGCTAACCACGCCCAGTCTTTATACGTACAGTTAAATATGGTATGTTATGGGCATCGAATCTTACTTCATACTTCAAATACAACGTTTGCAAACTCTATTTATTACATTAGTTGACTAGAGAAAAACAATGGGCATTATTTGAGAATTTGAAATCCGGAAACTATAATTTTTAATTCGGCCGGCAACCAAAATAACGCATGTTTACACTGTGCGAGCTTTGTACAAGGATATTACAAGTACATGGAGTTTAACTGTTAGAATTTATAAATTAATATACACATAGTAAGATTAAAACCCGATTAAATATCAACACATTGACACTCTAAATGGACCGAGGAAACTTGGGTGGAATAGTTTAACACTGGTTTCCTCCCAGTGAGTTATTTAAAAGCAACTGAACCACATGTTAGTTCCGAAATGACCTAGTTTGTGTCTAGTGGAGCAGACGTGAGCCTCTCTCTCTCTCTCTCTCTCTCTCTCTCTCTTCCTCTGTGTCCATCTCTCTCGAGGGGGTTGGATGGCCGAATGATTAGTGCGTTGAGTCAACTGGCGTGGTTTCGATTCCCCGGTTGTACGTGTCAAACCTCGTGGGCTTTCTCCGGTTCCTGTGGTTTCCTCCCACTGCTAAAGACCCCTACGTGCAAGCGAATTATTGAAATAAAATTAAACAGTGTGTTAGTCCAGAAATGACCTAGTTTATGTCGAGTGGACGTTAAAACCCTATTTTCTCTTTCTTTCTCTCAATGACATGGGGTTTAGTGTCGTACTGTTCTGTGTAAATGTAATGGGATTTAACGTCCTACTATTTTGCTCCAACTGTGCTAATGATGACGGGCATTTTGCCCAGACAGCGGCTCTACAGCCTAATCTTACATCGAATTCCAACTGCCAAGGGATATTTTACGTGCACGTCAATGTGCACACCGTACCTCGTGTTTTCGTCCCCCTCCGAACGACTAGAAACTACGCCGGAAAATCCCGATGAACTCTCTCGGCCAACACAGCGAGCAAACCTGCGACCCCCAGACTAGCGAACCAGCGTCTTACACACTTAGCCAGCGTAGCTCCCATATTCTGTACTACCCGGGCTAAAGACACGTATAGTGTTGCTTTAAAATGCGCGTGACTGCCATTTCCTGTTCACGTTGTCTTATTGTTTGATGACGTATATTTGTACTTACTATTTAAATATAATATTAAATTAAAACTTACGTTTAACACGTTTTTTTACTCGACACAGAGAATACTGGGTGTTATTTCAAAACCATAAAACAAAACCATAAAATAAAAATAAATGTCACTTTTATAATAATAGGACAAAGCTGAATTATTTATAACTCTTTAAAATAATATTTAATGACAGTGAAAAGCGAGTTGATATTAAATGGTTTATAAGTCATAGTTTTGTGGAAATATTTGTAGAGGATTGTGGTTAGTTAGTATAATTTAAACTTAAATATTGAGTCAGTAGTTATTCGTTCGGACGGGAAATGAAATTAGGATTAACGTCCTACTTTTCTGCTGTGTGTGAGCAAATGAACACGATTACCGTGCAAATGACATTTTACTACTTTAGTATGCTGTTTATGAAATTTCATTAGCGTTCGCTTGTGGGTGGTAACATCCGCTTTCATCGAGGGTAGGGTTGGGGGTGACACGATGGCTAAGCGAGTAGGGCGCTGGCTCGCTATCCTGGAGGTCGCGTGTTTAATTCCAGTGTTGGCCGGGAAAGTTTATCGTGATTTTCCGAAGTGATATCCCCTTGTCAGTCGTGCAGGTCGGAGGTACCGTATACACATTGGCGTGCACGTAAAAGATCCCGTGGCAGTTTGCTGCCCCGGTAAAATTTCCCTCATAGCACACTGTATGGCGTATGCCCGTCTTCATTAGCCCAGTCAGAGAAGAGAGAGAGAGAGAGAGAGAGGGAGAGAGAAAGAGAGAGAGAAATGGGGTTTAACGTCCACTCGACACAAACTAAGTCATTTCGGGACTAACATATGGTTTAATGTTATTTCAATAATTCGCTTGCGCGTAGGGGTCTTTAGCAGTGGGAGGAAACCGGAGGACCCGGAGAAAACCCACGAGGTTGGACAGGCGACACTACTACTTGTCACGTACAACCGGGGATTCGAAACCACGCCAGTCGACTCAATGATAGACTTTATGATACAGCGCACGCACGCTAACCATTCAGCCATCCACCCACCCCCAACGCCCCACCCCCCCAGTCAGAGAAGAAGAGTAGGACATTAAACCACATTTCATTTCATTTCATTTCGCTTCCACCGAGGGTAATATCGCAGATAAGTCTTCGTTAACTTACCTACATGACAGCTGGACTCTCACTGAGCAACCGGCCCACCCGTCCAGTTTCGTCTTGTGTAAATAACCAGTGGAGAGACAATAACATTATTCAGTGAGTAAATAATAACCTTATACCGTGTTAGTGGGGTAGTAGGTCAACGATGAGAGACCGACCGAACATTGTCTCGACAATAGACAAGGGCTAATTTATTTGCACAGTCGTAAAGCTGCACTACTTTGTTTCACGGTAAACGATGAAAAGATAAACTGTATGCCGACACATTAGTAACATTTGAAAGTACTTTTCGCTTATACGGGAGCTCATTGGAAATAATAAGATCGGATATTAAAACAAGTGAAATGGTTCCGATCCCGGACTTGACAAGGAGAATTATGGCCTGTCCAACCTCGTAGCTTTTCTCCAGGTTCGCTGGTTTCCTCCCACTGCTAAAGACAACAACACGCAAGCGAATTATTGAAATGATTTGGTTTGTGTCGCGTGAACGTTAATATCTCTTTAATAATTATTGAATAATTAATCAAATTAATGAAGTTTGTAAATCCATAAAGTTTTGTGTCCGATTGCCTATTTTTCACTGTTACAAATGAATTGCATACATCACAATTAATAAACAACATAATAAGAAATGTTCGTTTCACATGGGGAGGGGCTGACAAGGAAAGCTGTCTAGTCGTTCGGATGGGACGAAAAACCGAGGTCCCGTGTACACATTGGCGTGCACGTAAAAGATCCCTTGGCAGTTGTAATTCGATATAAGAGTAGGCCGTATTCAAATTCCCGGTTCATACAGAAAAGTAGGATCTAACCTAAACGTCATTGATACCGGAATCCACCGTTGATGACCGTAACGTGACGAAACTCGCTAGCAACAAAGGTGTTGTTCTGGCCGTATACGAGCGTTTTTAAACTACGGTAAAACATATAAACTTACTGTTTTCTCTGTCAAGATTCGTTGATAATCACGTCAAACTTCAGTTCACATCTCCGGTACTCTAGATGTACGCATCACGGTTTATTGTGATGCCGACAATTTAAGCACCAGCGTAATACGACATCGGTGATACGATGTGTCAATTTTATGATGGAAATATTTTGGGCGCAGGTTTACTCAGGTGAATCTTTTATATCCTTTGTGTGGCGTTCTCAATTTCAGCCCGACTTCAATTACCGCCAAACGAGAGCGTCAATACGACCTACTGATGATGCCCGGGTTTATTAGTAAACAGATCACGTTAACTCTGAATATTATAACACCCAAAATGTTGACATAGGATATACAAGATTATTTAATGTTCACACGCTCTAGTCGAATATTCAATAATATAATGTCATATCAACAAGATTTGCGAGTTACCAGGCCCCAAGTTCACAAAGCATTCTCAGACTTAAGTTAAAAATTTACTCAAAATTATTCGCCTTATTTTAACTAAAATATAGCCCTTTATAAAACTTTTGTTGTTTTAACGTATCAAATACATCCCTAAGAAACCATGTGCGAAGTTTTGTGTTTCTGGATCAAAAATATTTCTCATAAACAGTGATTGAAAGTTGAGTAAATTCTTAACTTAAATCTGAGAATGTTTTGTGACCTCGGGGTCTGGTCTTTACATATAAACAAGATTTGTGAGATATGTAGTCTTTACATATAAAAAGTTGGATTTGTTTATGAAATAGAGTCGTCCAACTGTGCTGTCTATTTGCATCTATACATTTCTTTGTTAACTGGGAGTCACGGTGACTCAGTGAGTAATCTGGGTGTCCCGTGTTCGATTTTTGGCCGTGGTTTCACCTTGTCAGTGGTATGGGACGCAGGGCTACGGCCTGGCAAATGACAGCGTATAATGCCGCGGTTTCCTTCGTGGTTTCACCTTGTCAGTGGTATGGGACGCATGGCTACGGCCTGGCAAATGACAGCAGATAATGCCGCGGTTTCCTTCGTGGTTCCACCTTGTCAATAGTGTAGAAAGCAGGGCCTGGCAAATAACAACGTATAATGCCGCGGTTACCGTTAGATATTGGTGTGTACGTAAACCAAACGTTGATAGTTTGATTTCAATAAAAGACTAGGCCGTAGCGCCGCTGTCCAGGCAAAATTCCCCTCATAGAACACAACATGTTGTATGTCCGTTGGTGCAGAAAAGTAGGTCGTTAAACCCCATTTCATTTCGCTCTGTTAAAGATAGTTTCCCGTGTACAAACTTGGTGATTTGATCATATATTTTGACAAAAACATATTCAAACTAATTAATCAAAAATTTACTTCAAACCCTCTCAAAACTTTGTTTTCGGGGGAGATACCACAAGATAAAATAGGGCTCATTTTTCCGAATTGTTTTTACTTACATTATCCGTTTATCATGCATATTGAGGTCTAAGTAAATTCTTAATTATTTTCTGTCAACGTCTTTTGTGGAGTCGTTTGTACGTTGACACCCCTCGATGTTCCCCAAACTGCCTAACCAATTGATCAAGAAATAACAACTGCCGCCTCAGTCAAGCTAGCACACAATACGCTTGCGGACAACGGCCGGATTGCCAGTTAGTGATACCCTGACATTTTTGCCCAGTGCTTGTCCCATGGGTATTTTTCGGGCAACAGACCTGACGATCCTCAACGGACACCTTTGAGTTGTGAGTATGAAATCAGCAGAGTATAATATAATTAAACGAAATGAAATGGGGTTTAACGTCCTACTGTTCTGCTCCTAACCTGGGCTAATGAAGACGGGCATACGCCATACAGTGTGCTATAGGAGAAATTTTGCCCGGGCAGCGGCGCTACGGCCTACTCTTATATCGAATTCCAACAGCCAAGGGATCTTTTACGTGCATGCCAATGTGTACACGGGACCCAGGTTTTTCGTCCCATCCGAACGACTAGACAGCTGTCCTTGTCAGGACCTCCGTCCTGCATCACAGACAAGGGAAAACCACGCCGGAAAATCGGGATGAACTTTCTCGGCCAATGCAGGGATAGTACACATAATTAAACGACGCTGTACAATGTCAAGAAAGTCGTGAGTGTGGGTGAGTGTGGGGAGGGGGGTTGCGTCACCAGAATGTCTACTGCGAAAACAAACAGGTGCGATCAACACGAAATGAAATACAGAACGAAATATTAAACATTTATAGTTGGTTGTGAATTTAATAGTAACATCCTTCTGAACATCTTGGTCATTAACTTCCATCCACTTGTAATGGAACGAATGGTTGTGACATCATTTTATAAGCATGGACAAGAAGATCATTTGTGTCGTCGCTATAATAACCATGTTTTTCTTACACGCTGTTTGTGAGACAAAAATGAAATGACATCAGAATTTAACGTCATATTTTTCTGCGCCGACTGGACGGACGAAGACTAGGTGTTGTACTACGACGGAAATCGTGATCATGGCCGAACAGCCGCGAAATGGTCTACTCTTATTTCGAAGGTTTCTTGTCGTTTACGTGTATGTGAACGTGTACACAGATACTCGGTTTTTCTTCCCATCTGAACGACTCGAGTTCTTGCCAGGCCCACCAACCAGAGGAAACCACTCTGGGAAATTCAGATGAACTTTCTCGACCAACACCGGGATCGAACCTCGAACCTCTTAGTTAGTGACAAAATGAATAAATAACAAAAGAATTGGAATAGATAAAGATATATACAGGTATACCGCGGCTCTGAAAAAATGAATAAATAACAAAATAATGGATGATTTTATATACAAGTATATATTTTAGTTATATATATTAAAATCTAAAATAAAAACATGAATAATATCTATGAACACCGTGCATCAATAAAAACTAAATCATATTGCATCATAGGATTCATGGTGATAAACTACAAAAATTATTGTTTTTCATTTCAAATGTTTTCTGAGGTTCTTAGGACAAATAAGAGTTTTTACGATGTTTTATGGATCAGCTTCATGAAGACTTGAAACAACCAATCTGTGATAATGAAGAAGAACAATACACAATTGCCTGTAAATTATTCCACAACAAGAACGCAACACTTCCATAGACTCTGGTAGCAGCCAATCAGATTGTGAAAAAGCGAAGTCTTGTTATTATCAATAATTAAGATTAGGCTTGTTCAAACTGCATATTTTATTTTTGGCGTAATTTTGAGATAGATTTATAACTAGGATTAGTATTGGTGGCATTACTTGAGTTGTCTGCCCTTAGAATGTATTTCCCAAATATTAAAACTTTGATTGTAATTCGTATTTCCCTTGCCCCGCATCTTCTTGATTCACGTTCACGTGGTATTTCGATTTCTTATTTTTCCTGTAAAAGAAATGATAATGACGCTACTCAGTAATATCCTTGGGTTAATATTGTATTTACCAAGTAGGTGTAATACAGTTATTTCCCTTACGGAAATGAAATGAGGTTTACCATTCTACCTTTCTGTACCGAAGAGGTTGATCGATTAATGGAGACGGACATATGCCATGCAGAGTGATTTGGTGGAGATTTTGTCTGGACAGCAGCAGAACTGGCTACGTTTATTTCCAATTTCAATTGTCAATGGTTCTTCACGTGCACATCCCGTGGAAACGACTGGTTTGAACGTAGTTTTTCCCGGTTCATTAACCGCCCACAAATAAGGACGGGGCCTGTCTTTTCGAGGGGATGCGGTACAAGGGAATGATCTGTGGTTCTCACTATAATAGCTAAAAACTAGATAATAAAAAGGGAATTTGCTGAAAATTTCTGTCAAATTGATCCACCCTGATTCGCGTATTTAGCGATTGGATTTTGGTCCTAGCCTCCATCATCATTACTAAAGTCGATATGATCAAAAACATAGTCTCGAGTATCCAGTTTTTGATTTAATCAGAAGCAGCAGACCGGGTTCTAATCCAGTAAATATCGCAGACTTAGATAACATTTCAAGACTAAAGAAAGCCCTTCAATTGGCAGATTTAGCTCTTGCATAATGTATGTTTAAGAAAGAACCAATCAGATCATCATGAATTTAGAATTAACCAACCAGATCATCATACATACTTAGAATTGACCTATTCGACCATCATATATATTGAGAATATGGCAATGCATCTATTCTTACTTTCCAAATTGTTTAGCATCTTCAATAGTCTCTGGTAAAGTCTGGTTCAATGTTTCTGGTAGTAAAAGAGATAAGAGACCAGCAGCCACAGAAGCTCCACCAAATACCAACAGTGGTAGAGCAGTACCAAAATCACCCTTAACTATGGTTCCCTGAAATATTATATACAACAATGGTAGATCAGTTCCAAATTAACCCTTAACTATAGTTCCCTGAAATATTATATATAACACTGGTATATCACCCTTAACTACAGTTCCTTGAAATATTACATACAGCAGTGGTATCATTCCTAACTATAGTTCCCTAAAGCATATACAACTGTGGTATCACTGCCTTAACTATAGCTCTTTGAAATATTATATACAACACTGGTAGAGTAGTTCCAAAATCACCCTTAAATATAGTTTCCTGAAATATATGTATTGCCATGTTCAGATGAATGTTTCTATTTCATTAAAGCACGCTTTATTTCACCTTTTCTTTATTACTTTGAAGTCCTCTTTCTGTACGATAAAGGTAGTAATTACAGAGACAGATAACTAAGGTGAGCTCTTATAATACTTATGATCTCATAATGTTGAAAAATTCTTACTAAATCTGCAATATACGGACACAGCATTCCTCCAATACGAGCGAAGAACGAACTGGCTCCCATGGCAGAGTTTCTGGTAATTGTTGGGAACAGTTCGGCGGAGAAGATATAAATGATAGCAAAGGCTGCTGATGCTCCAAGTTTACCAATCATTGATAATGTTATAGTTATCCATTCGTAGGCTGTAAAAACAATAGTACATTAATCATGTGAGTTACTTGGGCGTTACTCATAACAATTTATAACATTTCAAGAATACCAGTCTCTCATTGGTCAAGACATTCAATTATGACATGTTAGATTGTAGAAATAAAGTCTTGATTCCAGGGAATGGTATAGGCCCAGATATTCTACGAAGGTAATATTGAAATCCGTCATGGTCTATAAATTCTATGCATTTAGTCACATCTAGTCTACTAGGTACATAAATTTAACTGGTATTTTTAACTATTAACAAACATATTAACAGAATACAAATTTTATGGGAAACAATCGCTGGTTTTATTCTAAAAACACGACGTTTCGACAAATATCCTCTTATCGTTATCACGAACAATGACGTTATGTAAACTAAAAACACGACGTTTCGACAAATATCCTCTTATCGTTATCACGTGTGCCACCAAAATTTCCGATCCCTATTGGAAGCTGGACCCCCACTCCCACGTTCCCCAGTGCCACCGACTAGTCAACACTTACATTTATCTAGGTATAAAACAGGGAATATTGTTAATATACAGGCTATTCAATACTTACATTTATCAAGATATAAAACGGGGAATATTGTTAATATACAGGCTATTCCACCAAGTAACATACTCGTACAATGTAGAGCTTTTCTACCCCATCTATCCAGTAATAAAATACATAATATATACGAAATAAGCTCTACGATGTTAGCAACTGTGAAATTGACGTAGATGTCGCCACCAAGATTACCAACATTTAAACCAAGACCATAGTAAACCATACTAACAACCATCCTGTAAAATAACATAGCAAGTCGAGTGATTCGTAATTTAAATTGTATAGACCACTTTTCCACGTGCGCGTCTGCGCGGCGTTTCCGCGCCAGTTACATTTGCATTATTAGACCGGAAACGCTGCAAAAACACACACATTGAACACGGGCCTTAGTATTAAAATTAAAGATGAAATTGGAATGTAAATGAGATTTAAGGTCCTACCTGGCCCCGTAGTGTCTTAAGGAGAAATTTAGTCCGGACAGCGGCTTAGCCGCCCAATCTTCGCTGTACTCGGTTTTACGACCCTCTGTCCTGCACGGCTGACAGCGGAAGGGCACATATACGATATGTTGTCATTTTAACACTTGCTTAATCCAACCTTATGTTTTTGCATTCAAAGCGAAAACCAACAGAATATCGTGTTGAGGGGTTGGGGTGCTCTAGTGGTCTAGAGTGTCACGCCTCCAGCTCTAGCTAACCGGTCACCCCTAGCATGTGGTTGTGGTTTCGATCCCTGGTGTGAGCGAATGTGGCTTGGAGATAGTAGTGCCTTCTTAACTTCGTGGGTTTACTCCCCGTACTTCGATTTCCCCCCACAGAAAAGACCCATGCTGGTGCGGTATCATCCTCGTTGGAAACGGACGTTAAACACTGATGTAAGTATGATATCATATTGTTTACCAGTTAACAAATATGATCAATGTAACTATGATACCATATTGTTTACCATCTTACAAATATGGTCAATGTAAGAATGATACCATATTGTTTATCGTCTTACCAGTTAAAGAAGATTATCAATGTTCTAATGAGTAAAACAGATGACGTAAACATTTGAGAAACTTTAGCTTCCGGTCCAGATTGTAGAGTATCTTTATCAAACAGTTTAACCGGAAGTTCCACTTTATTCACTTCCGCAGCTTTACGAAGAATCTTTTCGGCCTTTTCCGTCTTGCCCCTTGATATCAGCCATCTTGCAGATTCGGGTAAAAACCTGAAGATAGGAAAATAGGAAATGATTTGGACAATATATGTTGGTCAATAATCTTTTTTCATAAATGAAATTACATGAAATGAAAAAATGATACGGGGGTTAACGTCCTATTGTTCTGCTCCTATACTGGGCTAATGAAGATGAGAATACGAACAGTGGCACTATGGTCTACTCTTATATCGAATTCCAACTAAACTATCAAGGGGTCTTTCGCGTGCACGCCAAAGTGTACGTGGAACCTCAGTTTTTCGTCCCGCGCGTTGTCTCTTATATGCCCCCCCCCCTGTCCTGCACCGTATATTAACTGTTTTATTATTTTATACTAACCAAAATATTGCCAACAAGAGAACCGATGGAACTGATATAGCTAGCTGTAGAGTACTCCAATCTCGGATAAAAAAGGCGAGGATAGTTAATATGAACAAACCAATACACCAAAACTGTTGTATTATTATAGCCGCGAACGTTCTTTTAGATTGGCCAACCAGTTCAACACCTATAGTAAATAACAAAAAAAAATATAAATTATTTATAGAATTAGATAGCCATATAGCCAAGGCTGTGGAAGAACTTCTAGTTTACAGACTTGACATACAGGACCTAATAAACAAACAAACATATTAAAATCATTTATAATATTATTAGTATAACCTGTGGAAGAACTTCCCGTTTACAGACTAGGCATGAATAACCAGTTACAGACCTAGTAAACTACAAAGAGATATGAAATGCAATGGGGTTTAACGTTCTACTGGGCTAATGGAGATAGATATACTCCATGCAGTGTGCTATGAGGGAAATTGTGTCCGGACAGCGACTCTTCCGTCTACTCTTATATCGAGTATCTTCCACGTACATACCAGTATGTACGAGGGGCATCTGTTATTTTGTCCCATCCGAACGCCTAGACAGAGTTGTCCTTGACAGGCCCTTCGTCCTGCATCGCTGACAAGTGGAAACCACGACGATGAAATTTCTCGGCCAACACTTAGCCACCGTGGCTCCTCAAAGAAACATAAATCGTTCAATGTTGAGTCATGGAAGACTTCTTTGTTACCAACTGCATCATTTAGAGGTTGGGAATGCATAATCAGCATAATCTAAATAATAAGAGATGGCGTAACGAAACGCTGGTGCAGTTACAGCACTGAATTCCCAACTAGAATGCCCCGGGGGTAGAACAACAACTTTTTAGGGATTGCATAAGACAGAACTAAGTAAACTTTGGCGGACGGGATAGGAAGGCGATATCCTTTGCAACAACAGAAGATTCTCTAGAAGCACTAGGTTCAAATGCAGGTTGCGGTGGTAGTCCTCGTTGTTTAGAACAAAAATGGAAATACCCGAACAAGACTATTTCTTTTTTGGGTGATTTCCAACCACTTAATCCAAAAATAGATAATTAAATACTTCGTACAGTATAGTTAATTTCTAATTAAATTAAATTTGTTTTACCCAGTACAAAAGCTGACATGAAGGTTCCAGCATTTGAAGCACCAGTGAAGAACCGACAGATGACAAACACGGTAAAATTAGGTGAAAAGGATGTTGCTATCGCCCCAACTATATGTAATGACACAGATGCCAACAGACCGAGCTTTCGTCCAATTCTGAAAACAAAACGATAATTGTAATGTGGATAGTGTGAAAAGTATTTAGCAGTTATAGGGTGGTTGGAGAAGATAAGGCTAGTCGAAGAGATCTGGTTTGTTTTGAAAGACCCGACCGGTTCTGCAGATCTGACCGGCTATGGTGAAATGGCTGGTGACCAATTTGGTTGGGAAAGACCAGGCCAGTTCGACAGATTAAACCGGTTGGAGAAGTTAGTTGGGCTGATAAGGCTGGTTGGAGAGATCCTGCTGGGTGGGGAGGCAAGGCTATTTAATGTGGCCAGGCTGGTTGGAGATACCCCCTGGGTGGGGAGGTCAGGTTGGTTGGTGTTGTCAGGTTGGTTGTAGAGATTATCCTGGTTGAGGAGAGCAAGTAAATTAATCTATCGAGAATTCGTGGGTTATGGTTGATATTAGTTCTTATCCTAGATCTAGTCCACTAACAATGGTGCCATTGTAGTTACTTTATAATCAATTAACTTACACATCAGACAGAATTCCAAATCCAAAAGCACCGACCAATAATCCCGCCATTGTTATCATGTTGGCATGGGAACGGTAAAGGGCATCATCACATATCATATTTTGCTGTTAATAAAATAAAAGACTAGTTGTTTTAAATACATTCTTTCATACTGAAACATTAAGAAGGAGTCGCAAGTTCTAATTCGTTCCTATGACTTGCACATGTTCGGAACAATGTCCCACGAATTCCATCATTGCAGTATACATTTTTTATTTCTTATATTTTGTTAAAGAAATAAAGTTAATTATTGGTGATTAATGTCTACTTATCATATCATTATTTTTACCAATCTGATATTTTGTCAAATAATGAAACAACAAAGGAAGACAATAAACTGAAAGTTTTTCATTTTGTATACCTCTGTAATAAACGTATCTTCAAAAGTTGACGTATCGTAAACCCATTGATGACATTCGACCTGGGAAGCGTTTACGTCGACCACTGTTAGTTCCGTAACACGTGTCAGATTGACGTCATATCTTTTACATGATGACCATTTACCATCATTATCACGTGGTATAGAATTATTGACGTATATTTGATGTAAAAGACCACGTGGTTGATATGACGTATCATTGTATGGATCGGGAAGATGGCACCTGAAAGTAAAAAGAAAGGCAGTCAAATCTTATTGTCCTGAATGTCATGGCTCTGACCGGATAACGAAAGTGTGTCTTGCAGCACTGAATGCATCACAATCCGCGGCCCCTGGTATGAATGGCGAGTGAAAAGACTGTTTAAATTCAACATAGCGGGACAAAATACATTGGTTTCAACATCATACACGGTTCTCATAAACTTCATGGCATATATTGCCTTCCATTTTATACATACTAATTTTTACAAAATATACAATACCGATTTTCACAACGTTGATTCAAAAGATATTTATGATAGCTGGATAAAAGCAACGTTCAGCAGGCCAAAAGCCATTCTAGATACAAAGTTAAACGATCTAGACGTAGAAAATACATTTAAAATAATAAACATTGTATGTCTTGGTACAAAACTGAGGAGCTTTGAACAGAAATATTCACAAATGATAAATTATTATTCAAAATTAGAAAAGTAGATAACACACTCTGCACTTTCTGCGAATCTAATATAGAAAATGTAGAACATCTCTCTGTTTTCTGCCCATTTTAACAAATAATCATTTTTATACTATCTTAGATCGCAGCAATATAAAGATAAATATAAAAACACATATCAAACATCTTGGTTTAACTAACAAACCAGATTATATAAATAATACTGAATGGATCTTCATTAATCATGTAAATTTTTTAAACTAAGTTCTATATATATCGGGCTAAACTACGAAACGAAATACTCAACATTAATAAGTATGAAAGCTTTTTAATAGAACATGCTAAATTGGAAATTGAGATATCTCCCGAATTATACATAAATAAATGGAAATATCTTTTTAAGACTTCCTCCATACCGATTCCCCATTGATAGATACCATGTACTTAGATCTGTGTATAGTAGGAACCCGTGTAATTAACCGTTTATACAGAAAATCTATTTTATTTTTATGATATAAATGTACGTAACACGTGCTTATAAATATTGACGTAAATAAAAGTGTATTGTTTAAAAATAAAATGACCTTATGTTTGTCTCCAAAGTATCGGGTTAACGAGACTTTAACCTTTTAAGCTCCGTTCACTCCATTAAAACCACATTAATATCCATTAAAATCGCATTAATTTCCAGTAATATTCGTGTTTGTTTGCATAACCAACAGTTGTCACTATAATATTTAAACAAATAGATAATGAAAAGAGAATATGTTGAAATATTCAGTCAAGCAATTTATTCTGAGTGGGTTTGCAGAACAGTGTAGTCCCGATTGTCATTACTACTGTTGTTATGATAATAAATCAATTCTCGATTATCCATGAGAGTTATCACTATAGTATGCACTCAAGGGAATATATTGAAAGTTTCAGTCAGAGCACTTCATTCTAAGCGGAGTTATTGTCGTTTTGTCTCGATTGTCATTACTACCGTTGTTCGGACAATAAATAAATTCTCGAATATCCATTTTTAAATTAAATTATATAAGATCTGTATAAAAACCTGAGAGTTCTCGCTATAATAGCTAATGAAAATGCTGAACATTTCAGTCAAATTACTTCATCCTGAATTGAAGTTATCGCCGTTTGCAGAACAATGTAGTCTCGATTAACATCACTACCGTTATCATAAACAGAGTCACGATTATCCAATTGAAATCTGTTGAAAATCAAAACTGACCGAACTTCTAGAGAGTTGATTATATATAATTATGGGCATGGCATGTGAATAAGTGTCTAATTAAAGATTAATAGACCATTTGAAGACAAAGGTTCAACTCCCGAATCATCTTTAAGATCGCATTAATGTTTGTGTAAGTTATCTGGTTATCGTTGAAGTATTTGAATACATGATTAGTATGCTTATCATCTGACCGTAGCGCTATCGTCAATATTTATTTTATTGGACATCTGACCGTATCGCTATCTCCGATAACCACTATGCTGGACATCTGACCGTAGCGCTATCGTCAATGTTTATTTTATATAGTTGAACATATAAATACGATAATACCACACCAGGTATAACACACACTATTGACGCGGATAAAACCGATCACAAAATTCACACAGGTATAGTGCACACTATTGACGAGGATCACACGGATTTAACTTTAAACAGGATGAACCTGTTATCATCATACTTGGACCGTTTGGACTTGTTTTGAAGATACTGACATTAACAATAACAATGTTGTTAGTAAACAACAAACTAGTTATCATTCGCGGTATACTCAGTGGTATCGTGACAGTATCGTCCCGTTCTAACTCACTAACCTCTCGGACCATCTGTCCTTGATCGTAACTTGATTCTACGAACATATAAAAATGCAGTTTACATACCAGTCACCAGAATAATCTTAGCTGGAATAAAATACAAGGTACTCCCCACTCGATTCGTCGATAAAAATAGCAGAAGTATCAAGTGGGGATAATTTGATCGTGTCTCCTCCGTGGATAGATCCCGATGTTAGTGGAGTAGAACGGAACGACACTAAGGATACCAAGTAATAAGTTGTAAAACCCAAGGTCCCGTTACAGTAGCACGTTATAGATTGGAAAAAAGTGGTCCGCATCACCACGGTAAGGTCTCCATATTCCCCAATAGGCGCGTTTTGAAAAAAGAGTAAAACGTCAAACACCATATCGGATTAAACCTCGACAGATTCTGGTCGCGTACAATGTAAACAGATAAACTTCAACAACCCATCTCAAATCCACAAATGCGATCCGATTTCTAATCGATTAAAGCGTGTAAACCTCAACTGCAGTGTAACGCCCGTTCGTTCACTGGTTCAGTCGTCAGTAAGGAGGGGTTTATTTTACAGACTCAAGTACATTTCGTCAATCGATGGTGGTCGCATAAGTATCTCGTTCAAAGGTTGATTCACAACAACCCACTCTGGATATATCTCCAATGACAGACTTTGTGATCTACCCCCCCCCCATTCACTTTGAAAACCAGTCTGATTTTGAGCAGAAAATTGATCATCCGACAGATGGGTGTCAAAAGCATATAAAAAGGAGGGGTGTTGGGTGGCAAGTACATTTTGTACCTGCCAAGGAGAAGGATCGCCTATCTAACCTCGTGGGCTTTCTCCTGGTCCTCCAGTTTCCTCCCACTGCTGCGAAGACCTTATTGACATACAAATTGTTAGTCCCGAAATGTCGAGTGGACGTTAAACCCCATTTTCTTCTTTTATATAAAAAGTCGATGACGTTACTAAGATATATGAATTTGGTTGAATTTTAGATCTTTGAAAAAATGTACCCACCTGTGGTCTGGAATGGACAGCGTGAAAACAGTCACCAACATCTGCATGGCACATGATATCGCCGGAAGACATACTAAATAATATAGCCGTTTCTGGTAGGGTCCAAATTCTCCCAAAATCTCTATAATTTCATCAAATTTCATCTCTATTCAGTGTCGTGTATCCGAGACGATGCTTTAAGCACTAATAAAATCCTTGTCCAGAATTGTTCTGTTAACGTGATCCCCTGTACACATTAACCAGTAAACGAAGAAACCCTCTGATACCAAACAATACGCGCACCTGTTTTCAGTCCAAAAGATTTTTCTGTTGTGTCATAGGTTCACTAAGAAGCCCCGGGAATAATATGTACACGTTTGTGTAATGTGATCGTCTGTACACAACAAACAATCAACCCAGATCTCAAATAATCCATGTACTTTTCTCAGCCGAATAGTTTATTCTGCTGTGATCAGTTCTAGACATTCCTCTCAGAAACTATGGACAAATTGCACACGACTGTTGCTGCTATGTGCTCGATGCTAGATAGTACATTAAGAAGTTTTGGGAATAATCGTTAATATACCCTTTTCGATCGTTTATTTGTTTCTTGAATAAAACTGAGGTTAAAGTTATAACCCTAACAATCTACTGTGTAAAATGATAACGATCTCTACTCCAATACTGCTCGACATTATCTGATAAAAAATGACATGTTGAAAATGATATGTGAGTGGAGGAGATAGAAGATTCATGACCACTTGATCTAAAAGGTACGTGGGGGGAAATTTACCGAAATTTAACCTTGAGGACGGGTCGGAAAAATTTTATTGCACTATTGTATTGTGTTTGCTTTTGGTTATCCGATCTGATAATCCTATTAATGTTTGACAGCCATTGTAGTCTCACCGGGTATCGATGCAAAAAATATATATTAGCTCTAGATTTCATAAACCCATATCATTTCGCTTGGATTTGGGCAGCTCAGTGTTCAAGTCCCAGGTTCACTAATCATAAAGCCCCAGTGTTGGTCGATAATGTTCTCCAGGACTATTCAGCATGATTTCCCCCTGCCACTGGTTCGACTCGTT